AGAGAGAGAGAGAGAGAGAGAGAGAGAGAGAGAGAGAGAGAGAGAGAGAGAAGACAGGGCACAGGGAGAGACGAGCGAGATAGAGAGGAAGAGAGGGGGTGGAACAGAAAGGTGGGGAGAGAGGAAGGGGGGCAGGAGATTCTTTGGATGCCATTTTTGACTTTGTAACAAAATATCGTGGGTCCAAAAGATGCACCTGAACTGCATTTTGGGCTTTCGTTTTTCACAGAGAAAACGAAAGTAGAAGTACAATTAAAAAATAGACTAGTTCCGGTTTCCGAATTCTCTTCGTTTCATCGCTCTGTGAAGGTTGCATGTTACAAAACCGGCTCATGATGGTCGGCCTTGCTTGCCTTCCAGAATCGAATTGTGTAATCTAGATCTACTTTGGAACCGAAAATGATTCTCAAAAAGGTGTAGTTGTACGTGATATCTCAGCAAATTAAAGTTTAAATTCTCATTTTACTGGGCATTGATCTAAACTTCTAACCAACCAAGTCCAAGTCGAATGGATCCAGGCAGGCTGGTTTCGGCTTGACAAGATATTTAGACTACTGACTTATGTCGTAGGCTACTACTAAAGTCCTAGATCTAGAATCTGGATCTAGCCTACAGCAGTCAGATAGTATTTAGTTGAATTCTAATCTGAATAATTAATAAATAGCTTGGTAAGATTTAACTTTGGTGGACCCAACCCTGAACGAAGCTGGAACTACTTTTGAGCCTTACTAAATTGTTTTCTTGCGTAAATGTGTGTTTAAAAAAAAATTATTATTATTGTGTAGGGCCTACTTAACAGGTTTCGGTCAATAGAGCCAAACCTAGATCTAGTTCTAAGTACGACTAGACGGCCAGGCTAGGCTAGCCACGCCCACTTCGCTTTATTAATAGGAAGCCCTTATTAATAATGTAGTCTACGCCTGTACTACTTTTCGATACTTGCATGGAGCACCTGGAGTAGAGACGATAAGACAGCTGTGGAGTGAAAGCGACAAACTTACATTGAAATGTGGGGGCAGGGTGGGTAGTGTCGCTGTCTCAAAAGGCCAGCTCTATTTCTCCAAAGGTTCGGGAAAATAAACTTGAACTTTATTTCTCCGAACGGTTTCCGTTCTCTAGATTTGTTAATAATAAGCGAATGGAGTGGCCCGTGTGAGTGTGTGTATTTGTCATTGTGTGTGTAAAGGTGTGAACGGGGGGGGGGGGGGGGGGGGGGAATTTTTTTTTACATGAAGGATTTTAGTTTGTGCTGGGTGACTATATGCAAAATAGGTTACTGCCAAGGTCGAGCAGTCTTGTTTTCTTGCAGTACCATTTGAAGGTATTTTCAGATGAAATATAGATTCTAGTCCGGGAACTTTGCCCTAACCACAACTGAAGTATAATCTGAATATTCAGACATTTAAAAATCTAGATAAAAATTGAATTCGATGCCAAAAGTGCTTACTCCCAGTCCTCGCAGAATGAAAGATGACGCCTAAATCTCGCAAATAACCAAAAAATCTCGAGATCAGAAACCGTTCGGAGAAATAGAGTTCTACTTTATTTTCCCGAGCGTTTGGAGAAATAGTCACTTCGGTCTCAAAATGAGCATTTTGTAGGCTAGGTTACTGCAAGTCATTTGTTTTAGTGATCCTGTATGCATCCAAAGAGCGGGTTTTAATACAGGGCCCAAAGAGAAGAACTTTTTTGTTATTACTGGATCAAGATTTTTTTTGAAAAAAACACTTTTAATTGGTCCCTGGCCTGCGGAAATGCCATGTTTTTTGTGGGCATAGATCTAGGTATATTAATAAACGAGCTGAATTATTTTAATGCAGACAGATGAAAGGGAACCATCTATAGTAATATCAGTCTATTATTACATCATGGTGAAGACTACAGTGCTGGTCTTGACAATGGCCTTTTCACTGTTCTATCTTCGACTGTAACCTCACTAACTGGCAATGCAATGTCTCGCTATGTCAATGAAAGGTTTGTTGGTGCACTAAAAAGAAAATGGGTGGAATTCATTAATGTGATAGGTATGTCATGGCAATAGGGGGACAATAGGCCTACTGAACAGCACTGTTCATTGTATAGTCTAGATCAAGAGTTAAAGGATGGAATTTGATGGTGTTTTACACTTCCCTATTCATGGGCAAAGGAGAATTGTTGAAATGAATAATTAATTGATTTTGAAGTTCGTATAGTATGGTCGAATTTGGTTGAATAGTGCCAAAATGGCAACTTTTCCCCCTTCCTTTACTTTATAGTAACTCTGGCTGGACTGAACTCAATCAAATGAATTCGATTAGCAGTTTGCACTTGGTACAAAATTTATTAATTTGCTCTTGTATCATCTTGCCTCTTTTCTAAGGTTTCACATGCAAATGAACTAGCTTTGGCAGAAGTTTCCCTATTGTTCCAATAGATTTAATGTTAAGAAAATAAGAATTTTAGTATTTACATTTTGAAGAAAAAAATGTTTTATAAATCTACTTTCTGTTATCTTCATCATACTCCGTCATCATACATATGCCCAATTCAGTTACATATCTATTTGATTTTACACATTTGATTTTTTTAAAGGAAAAAACTGTCCTTGTTAATGTCCTGATCACAGATTATGATCTTTTTCTTTTCCTTTTTTTCAGATGATGAAAGGGAAATAAAGGAGCAGTAATTGTACAACTTCAGCACCTCCCAATTTAAAAAAACTGAAAAATGAATCCTGCTCGAAAGGTGTGGACTTTTCGACACATGTTTGCCTCGGCCCAACAAGTTGGAACGGTTTTGTTTTCTCGGCGGTACTTACTGTACACAAACACTGGCATAAGTGTGAGTCTCTCAGTTTCAGGGGACATCTTGCAGCAAAGATATCAACTAATGAAGCATAACTCAGATAAGTCGTCTCTCAATGTGAAACGAACAGGACAGATGGCTGTGTGTGGCTTTTTAGCAGGACCCGTGGCCCACTACTGGTACATATTGCTGGATAGGTGGCTGCCGGGCCGTTGTGCAAGAACCATTGTGAAGAAGGTATGGGTTTTTATCTTTTGGACGTGATGTTTTGTTTTTAAACATTGTGTATGGTGTATCTGTTTCATTTACAACTAGAGCTAAGAGGGAGTTAAATTATTATTATTATTACAGTTCGCAGTTAATTTAGTTTTAATACATTGTGGTAACATGTGCAGGCATATGGTTGGGCACAGATAATATGAACTTAGAGCAAAAGCAAATATCACGAATAGCTCGTATATATATATATATAGAGAGAGAGATACATATGAGATTCTTCTAGTGAACTGCTATGGGCTATAGATTCTTTGTAATGGCAACACCATTTTCTCTAACACCTGTATGTATTAGTCGAACAGCTCGTAAAAAACCCACCAAAACGATCAAATTTGACCTAAATAATTGTCTTGAATTTAATCTCCCTGCTCGCATGATAGAAAACAACACACCCTTCGCAACACAGGATGGGTGAACAGATTTAAAAAGAAACATTCCATCAATCAAAATAAGCTGTGAGCTGCAAATCTGATGCACTAAATCCGTTGCATGATTAATATTCCAACCATCGTACCTCCACAATCACTTCCCTTGATTTTCTTTAATATCTCTCTAATTTCTCATTTTATCAGTCGGCCGAATTATGGATGCGACGAATACATTTCTCAATCCCCTTCGTGTTTGAATCATCCATGCCCAACTGTCATGTATATACGGTCCATAATTCATCCTCTGAAAACTGACTCGGAATGAGTCTCATGTGTGTGTGCCAGCAGAAAGACAAAAAAAAAAGTCATTTTTTGATATATTTTAGATTGATGGAATAGTGAATGTGTAAGAGAAAATTCAATGCTGAACATAGAAGTTTTTCAATTTTTCTATTTCAAGTAGTTTTGTAGACATTGCACATTTTGGGAGGTGGGGTATTAAGATGTGATTTCGAGAAAATGGGCTTTTAACACAGTACACTGTAGGCTCAAAAAAAGAAAGGGTAAGGTTGCATTAGAAGTTTGATTTGTGTGCAGATGTAGCTGTTTATGCGCATGGCTATTTATAGTGGAGGGGAAATATTACATTATTTGGTTCAACTTCAACTGAAGTACAGGGCAAGGGTAACAACAAGAGTGGGACTTGCGCTCGCCAAGTGGCGTTGATATGACACTGTTCCGTTTCAGTCAGTGTTCCGCCACAGTTCCACGAGCGCTCGCGTACTCGCGATTCTTTGAAGCCGACTGAATCGCGAATCGCCACTCTCAAATTTGGCGAGCGGGATCCAGCCCTAGTTATTGTGTTTCCAAGAGATTTGAATGTCTTGAAAACAGAACAAGGAATAACCTGGAATATTGTTTTTTATGCAATCTCTAGCAAAACAAAAGTAAGTGGGAAATGTTTTCCTGTAGAAGTTACATGTTTTCCCCGATTTTGATTCTCTTGAAACCTGGTTCAGCTCATGGAGCCTACTTGAAATTCCGGGTTTTTGCATTTTTATAATCTCAAAATGATGTATGCATGTCCGTTCATTTTATTCACAGGTTATACTCGACCAGTTGGTGTGTTCTCCCATTTTTATCGGACTTTACCTCGTGAGCATCGGCATCCTGGATGACAAAAAGTGGGAGTTGCTGAAGGAAGAGTTTGCCACCAAAGGAGTCTGGCTGTTTCTTGGAGACTGCCTTATATGGATTCCCGCACAGATATGCAATTTTGCTATATTGCCGACTCGGTTTAGGGTTCTGTTTGATAACATGGTGTCTTTATTTGCAGATGTGTTCTATTCCTATGTGATATTTGACCATGAATGTGATAATATGAAACCTCTATCTAAGGATACATTAAGAGTTGAAAGAATGTAGTGAATGTATGTGTCTTTCATTTAGGTGGATAAAATAATTGTGTACCATGTAGGTCATGTATGGCGTGTTTGCTTAAACGTGAAGGATTGAGAAAGCAAAATGGCTTGTAGTTTCTAAAGATGAGGTGAAGTGCACAATACAACCACAGGGGTACAAAATGACCCAAGGGCGTACGGATAGGGTTAAGGGAATTTACAGTGCGTGGAATAAAGAGGGGACGGGGGTGATTTGAAATCCTTTTGTGGTGACAGAAATTTACGTGTTAAACAGGGTCTTCTTATTTCACAGTATCCAGTTCAATTAATAATCTTTGTGCTTTTCTGCAGTTGAAGTATGAGTTCTTGAAATAATGTCTTGAATTTCTGTGAAACACAGTATCATATATTTATAATATAATAATTCTAGGTGAAGGTTAGCATATCTTTCAAGTACATATTCTGAAGAGAAAAGTATGTAAGGCATTTTAATGTGCGTGCTGTGTTAAATTTTTACTTTTAAGTAAGTCGTTTTTATGAAAGTTTTTTTCTGGTTTGTTTTCTAATCTATTAAAGTAGACTTTTTAGTGTACGTGTATTGCCCTTTTGTCTTTTATTTTGGGTTTTTTTCAGCTCTGTCACTCTTCGCAAATATGTATGGAGATGTTCACACAAGTAAAATGAATCACATGTATATATATTAATTATTATGTCGTGCATCTCTCCAACTGTGATAATTTCTGAGAGCATTCAACTAAACAAAGGCACAGTTCACAGGTGAAGGGTGTAGTATGGTAAGCATATATATATGTCTCTCGTGTCTGCCAACAACATAAACAAAAAACGCATAACTGCCAACCAGTACATATTATATTTATTAGGTCTTTGATGATTTGAGTATGGAAGTCCATTTTCCTTTGGGAAAATACATATTCTCTGTTTTCTAATGTTTCTTCCCCACGTGGACCTTGCTGAAGACAAATAATGAACTTTTCAAGCCCGAATTTGTGATCTACAATGTGAATGAAGCTCTCAAGATGATATGTCAAGTGGAGAGATCTTTTGCTGCAGGTTTACTCTACATTGAATGGCTGGGATTTATTGAATTCCGAAAAGTGTATAAAGGGTTTGGAGAGGATTTTTTTGGCCAGTGCTCACCATCTTGGCCCACCGTGTAGATTGTCTGGGGGGGTTTTTGGCAGCTTTCAAAATGTTTGTTAAATAGATAAAGTGAATGTTTTTGTATCAATATTAATCAAACACTGGTGCTAATGTGTACATATATTATGATGTTAAATATGCCTCTCTCCTCCCCCCTACCCCTTTAATGCTGAAAGCTGCCTTCACAAGACATTTTTCTTAGCAAAATGAACAAAGGAATGTGAAATCAGCTTTTGAACGGTATACATGTATTGCAGAGTTGAAATTCCAAAGTTAAAACTAGTGAGTTTTTTTACTCTGGTCATTTGCCTAACTAGAAGCACATTCTGATTAACTTGATATAAACTTCATAATTTAGGAACCCCGAAATTGCAAGTGTTTTGATTTTGTCAGTCCAAAGGCACTTACGGTGGAAAAGAAGATGGACCCATGTTTCAGTTCATCTATCTGTTTACTATTGTGTGAGTGGGTGGTTGGCGGGTGCTCTGATGTGGTTTGCTTCTTCTTTCCTATCAAACATCTATCGTCCTTATCTCCCCTTCTTCTATCTTTAAATAAAAGTCCAGATGTTTGTGATTGAAGGAGATGAGGGTCGCCTGGTGTCAAAGGTAAAATAAATTCGAGAAAATGGCTGCCACAGTTTGGAGACTTCCAAAGCTGTAGTGTAGTGGCCTTGGAAACTGCAAATTTACACTTTTTGTGACTTTATAAATGCTTTTCAGTAAAATCCTCACAGGAATGTGTTTTTAAATAGACATGAAGTGGTTGGAGCTTAAAACCAAAGAATTTATAAAAAATTGCCCAACAGGCGGAATGTCCATTTCTTTGATTTCATGATTTTGACAAGCGCCTGATTCCACCACGCCATGACACATATTACTGTCGAGTTGGTACGGTTGAAAAACTGAAATCTGAGAGCTGTTTTTTTTCCTCTAGTCTTCACATTGGTTGTGATACATATATATATATGTCTATATATACAAGCATGTGGAAACGGATCACTTGACCTTACAGAGAACCTGCCCCCCTCCCCACACTCTTCTCAGAGGATGATTTTGTCTGTCATTTTAAAGTGCAATGTCTCTTGCAAAATTATGTTTTCCTGTTGAAAGTTTTGTGTAGAGCTGACCATGTGTTGATCAACAGTTTTTGAGGATCATGAAATGGCTTTTCACCGTCAAAAGTACAGGAATTTTATCATTTTAAAAAAAAGATTTTATACAGGTTGGAAAATAATTTTGTAGCAAAGTTTGGTTTCTGTGTGCAGTCCAATGAATCAGAGATTTTGTACGGATTCGTTTTTTGTTAGAAATCACGTTATGACCTTAAAGTGTTGAGTCTCTGAGGGAGAAGTTGAGCTTTGTTCTCTGTAGGTAGTGTTAGACTCTAGGACAGTTAACTAGGGTTGTATTCCAATTTCCTATATATATATATATATATATATATATATATATATATATATATATATATTTGTCACAAAATTAACTCTAACACACTTGAAAGTTTGGAAAAATTAACTGTTTTTCAGTTTGGGTTATAATATTGTCGTCAGATGTGAAAAATGAATTGAGCGAATCTGAGAAGAGATGTGACTCAAACTTGCTGGTAGTGAATGATTCACGATACATATTTTGTTACTTATTTAGGGTTGCACGCACTGCTTAGAGCATTTTCACTTGTGAACCTCTCCAACTCCCAAGAAACAATGGCAAAGGGGCTGTCAGAATTCAGACATTCGAGTTCAAGGTGGGTGGTTGGCGGGTGCTCTGGTGGGGGTTTGCTTCTTCTTTCCTATCGAACGTCTATTGTCCGTATCTCCCCTTCTTCTTTTTTATGTTTGCTACTCTCTTGTAACACCTCTAATCTTCTGGTGCTCATATGACCTTCTGCAGTTGCGAGCGCCGTAAAACCTCTACTAAAACTTTTTTTAAAGACATTCAAGATCTTGTGGCAAAGCGCGCAAAGCTTGTGGTCCTCTCCTGTATTGCTTCTGGGCTGGCGGATGTGGTCAGCAGGCAACAGGTGGTCTGTGGGATAACCAACCATGAAACATGTAAAGTGTGTTTAGTTTATTAGAGTGTGTTCACATGCAATGGTTCAGCTGTGAATTTAGAACATTCCCTTGTGTGTAAGTGTAGGTACGTACTTATATGTATACCTGCATGTGTTTTTACTGTCCTGTACAGCCAAGAAAAATTTCCCAATGGGATACTTAAGTATTTTCTTATCTTATCTTATCTTGTCTTATACATGCATGTGTCTTTGATATTGTGTCATGGTTGGGGCTCTCGGAATTGGAAAGCATCATTTGCTGAGTACAATTTATATACAACCATCTAACTTTTATACAATCTTTTTCTCTATGACAATGTACATTATTCATCTGGCTCAGGTAACTGTCTCTTTTCTGTTGTCTCACTTTGATTCATGTTTGAAGCCTTCTGTTACCTTCATTTTGATTTTCTTCGTGTAGTCAGATGAATGATGGAGTTACATGTAGAATTGTGAACCTCTTGTTGACTTAAGGTAGAAGTTGATAAAATGAGATTCCCTCAACGTGTACTTGTGCAGCACACATGGTTTATAAAAAAGTGCTAATTTTTATTGATGTCTGCATCAAGTAGTGTATTTCTTGTCTGATCTTGTTTGCATAAAAAGAAAACAATGGAAAATAAAATTTTAATTTGTTAATTATTATGTTTTGTTGAGTACATGCATGTATTTTATATGCTCTGGACCCAGAACTTGTTTATTGTCTTAACTGCAAGATCAGTCATTGCAAGTGAGCTTTAATTCAAGTAGTGGGTGGTTGGCGGGTGCTCTGGTGTGGTTTGCTTTTTCTTTCTTATCAATCATCTATCGTCTTTTTCTCCCCTCCTTCTTTTTTGTGTTTGTTACTCTATTGTAACACCTCTAATCTTCGGCACTTAATATGACCTTATATTGTGTTGCAAGTGCCGTAAAACTCTTTACTAAAACTAATTCAAGTAGAATTATTTGGTGTGATCAGTACCAACATGTCAAATGCTTGTGAAAAGTATTCAGAAAAGAGTTACGGTACCGTCTCGCATGCTCAAAGTCAAAAGTCAAAGCAAACATGTGCATAATGAAATGAACCACTCACATGAAGAACAGATTTTCAGGTCCCAAACTTTTTCTTATACATGACGTATTATTTATTCTTTGTAGCCTATTTAAAACACGTACATAGTGAAATATGTACGTAACAAAAAGATTTCTGTGTTCCACCAATTTCACTATGTGCATACATTTACTTGACTGTATTATAGTGTCGTGGGAAAGCTGTTAAAATGTCTTAAACAAGCCTAGTAAGCAACATTCTTTTAACATTTTGAAACTAAATAACATTTCTGGCTTTTTTCAGCTTTTAGAATATAAATGTCAACAATATAAATCTGGAGCTCATGCAACTGATACGAAACTGCAATGAAAAAGATTCAAAAATTTGGATTTAGTACATTTGTACAGCTGCATGATGAATGTATTTTCCTACACCATTGTTTTCATTTGGTTATAATAAACCTTATAAGTTTGACTTTGACAGTAGGCAGGTGTTAGGATGCTCCTAGGCGGTGCCACTGACTGAAGTGTCTTTAGGCCATTCCCCTAGGGGGAACATTTCTTGTTCTTATGCACAGTAGAATTGTAAATGGGCTCATCCAACATTGTCATGCTCATAACTGTGCCTGAACTACAACAGGGAACTGCTGCTTTTTCTTTCCTAATCCTTACTATTGTCATTTTGTTCTCCTTCTTTTGTATGTTTGTCACACTCTTGTGACCTGCTATTTCCGGGATGCCTTGATAGTCTAAGCAGACTTTGTGTTGCTGAAGCTAGAGAGGTGAGCAGAGTAAGTCTGATTCCCTGTAAGGACTTCTCTGTTGACATTTACCCCTTGGTGCTCATATGACCTTATGCAGTTGCGAGCGCTGTAAAACCACTATTAAAATTATTTTTTTTTAAAGGATGCTCTTACTGTTGTCTTACTATCTGTCTCTCCTTCTTAGTTTTTGTATGTTTGCTTTTTATATATATATATATGATAGAACAAGAACTGAATCAAAGATTGCGTCCTCTTCTATTTGCACAAAAGAATCATAACGTTATAGGAGGCCCAGTAGCTCAACTAGTAGTGTGGTGCCTGCCAGTCACATGGAGGTCCAAAGCTTGATTTCTGTCAGTTTGTTTTTTTTTCCTCATGCTTTCCACACACACACATATACACACACACACACACCCAGGGCACTGAAATCTTCTCCGATAAGGAAAGGATGAAAAATTTTGTCGGTTTTTCATGAGGAAGATCCCATGACTGTTCTTAAGAGCGAAAAGAATGGGCCCTTTGGGCTACATTCTGGCAAAATTCAAAATTTTCCATCTCTATATATATTACATGTAAGAGTAGGCCCTACTGGGTGTCATGCAAGGGATGATTCTACGTTCTATGTAGATAAAACGACCATGTACAAAAAAATCACCCGCACTGTGAATGTAAAATGAAGATGGTACTGTCAGTCACTCCCTGAGTTCTTGCATGGGTATGCAAAAGAAGATGACAATGCAGATGCTTAACTTGAATTTAAATACCAGCATTTGAGTATGATACGTTATCCGGATGTTTCTTGTTCGTATTTATTCATCAGACAAGCAGCCAGTCATTTAGAAAATAAAGCGTTAACATAGTACATGATTCTGATACATGTAGGCACTATGTACTTGTAACAAACTGCCACTTGATAGCCTTTCCCTGTTATATTCTTGCTATTGCAAGTGTCCTTTTTTGGAATAGAGAATTGGGATGATCCTCTGCTTTGTTTTATTGGAGAAAAGTAATTAAAACTTTTTTAAAAGTTATGTGGAAACAAACTGTTGGGTACTTTCTTGTCCTGTGATACTATTCCATGGACTCCCAGTTTCTGTATGAGTCTATTTTATGGTTGCTTTTAAGGACAAGCGGGCTAACCCAGATTTCGGGCGTTTCCAGAAATCTTGATCTACACCAAAAGTGGGCATTGCCCTACCTATAGGAGAAGTTTTGTTTCATTGGTGTGCATATTTGTATGGTTACAGAGAAAACTATCCTTGTCTTCTGAAGAAACATGACAAGAGTCCAAAAACTTTCCCTTCGATTTTCTCAAAACAGCATTTTTTGGGATAGCACCCTTGTGCTTAAAATAAGTTAAAAGCGACCATATATTTGCATTGTCATGCCAGTGCTGGGAGTTTGAAGGGTGTCATTGATAGGTTCTACTTCTTTTCTGCCACTGTTGTTGAGCTTTAAGTTTAAGGCACTTGCAACACAACAAGGTCATATAAGTGCCGAAGATTAGAGGTGTTACAAGAGAGACGTACACAAAAAAAGAAGGAAGGGAAATAAGGACAACCATGTCTGATACGAAAGAAGGGACAACTTGGTGGGTTTAACACACCCTTCAGTCTTAACAAAACGTGAATCATTTTGAGGACTGATCATAGAGATTGTGACATGGTACATATATAATCATGAATGTGCACAACATTGGCCTGTTATGATTATGATATAATAAAATGAGAAACAAGTTTCAATTTTGTAATTTTATTATCAATTTCAATAACAAAAGTAACATGCATCAATATGAACAAACATTGTTCCATTGAATACTCAAGTATTGATTCTTAGACTGCCTAGTCTACCCCTAACTCTCACAATAATGAAAAAATCACTACACAACTTGGAACTAACTACACAGTAACATAATTAAAGCCTCTACATTTTTTTTATGACAAGTCTCATTCGCAACAAAATACCTGTTCCTATAACATTTTGCATGGGATTCTCGATTGGTAACACTTTCAGTTCTGCATCTCACATCTTCACACACACCCAGCATGTGTCTGGAAATTGGAAAGTGTTTCTGATACATTTTAAAAGAACAGATAAGAAAGCTGTTGATCATATGTGTTTGTCTCTAACTAAACAGAAGCACATTGATTTGATGCAATAATGACCCTTTAGTGGAGGGGGGAAAAGCAAGGTAGATCTAGTAGGTAGACAAAAACAGAAGAGGGATATAATAAAATTGCCCTGAATCTGAATAGTAACATACTAATACAGTAAAACCCTGATATCATGAACTTTCACAGGTTGGGACTAAAGAATGAGTGTTTGTGTGTTAGGCATATGTTATTTAAATTTAAAGGGAACTCGCATGACACAGAATGAAGAGGAGAAAAAAAAGGGATTTGAAATTGTTGTGGTAACAGGAATTTTGTGATGAGCAGCTTCATGTCTGCTATATCGCTGTTGTATCTGCCTAAACATACGATGACACGCTCCGCTCAAATGCAAATTTTTGTAATGACGACAGGCTTTAATTTTACCATAGATTATATTTTTTTATGCGTTACATCATGGTGACATCAGGTGCTCATCAAAATATAAATGTAGACTCTGCAGTAGACTAATATCGAAGGAACCTACTTCAACAATTGGCAATTTCTATCAATACTTTTGTTCTAGGCTCAACACATATTAAAGTCCACTATTAATCACATCCCTGAATGGATTTTACTGGAAAATACTGATCAAAGGCACATATTTTCAGTTTCCAAGTGGAAGTAACCAAACTGGTGGCTGTTTTCTCGCTTATTTCCTCTCTGGCACCAGGTGATCCCCACCTCTGGAATGGCAAAATATGGACTTCTGATCAAGATATTTTAAAAGGGTACTTTTTTCATCAAAAGGCTTTAAGAATTAAAATGATATGGAATAACTCTGTGTGCCCCCCAAAAATTATGAGCGCCCGATTCTACTGTGTTGTAACACATATAAAATAGATGTATAATGTGCAGCCACTTCTTCTAAATGCACACTTCAATCAATGAAACACCGCAACATGTATATTTTTGGAAGACAAATACTCCAGAATATTACATACAGTAGTATAACTATAACACGGATAGGTCAAACATAGAAGACTTGAAATCAAGCATCCGTCAAACTGGGCCTGCAGTACCGGTTTTTAAAAAAAATCTTTGTAAGATATCTCTGGAATTACGGATCCCCCCAACTACCTAAGCCAGTCACGACGAATTCGAGCTATCCTTGTTATACTGTAGTAGCTGATGGCATCCAGTAAAGACAATAGATGCCACACATTAGTATTAGTAGCAGCAACTCATGAACAAATCAGAAGAAATTTTCTCCTGCAAAATCAGTAGGCCTACATTCATTATTTTATCTATTCAGGTGAAGAACTCTTTACATGTAGAAGAAACATTCAACAATTCTATGAAACCAAAAAAACCCCCAAAAACCCCAGAAAGGTCGGCAAAACATTCGTCTCATGAGAAGGAAGTTAAGAGTTAAAGTGAGGTGAAGGTGTATAGTGTATGTAAGTTTTAGTTTTAGTAAGGTCATATAAGTGCCGAAGATTAGAGGCATTACAAGAAAGTAACAAACACAAAAAAGAAGGAGGGGAGATAGAGAATATAGACTTTTTATAGGAAAGAAGGAGCAAACCACACCAGAGCACCCGCCAACCACCCACAGAGTATGTAAAATGGCCACAATTTTCTCTGAAAAGCGAGAAGGGTTGTTTTGGTGGACCCAATACAATCACATCAGTAAGTACATCACAGCTTGTAGTTGGGGTTAAAGACGTGGTAATCTCAAGCTGATGTAGTTCTTCTAGCACTTTTCAGGAAAATAAGTAAAAATGGATGCGTTGATAAGCGGATTATCCTGTATAGGCTACCGTACCATGACCAAAGCAAAATGTACACCTAACTATATATGCCCAAACACACAAATAAGCCTAAGAAGTTCTAATTTATACTGTATTAGTTCATAATTTGTTCACTCACTAACAGCCTCAAAGGTTAGGTTTCCAATGTAACATTCACACAGCACACAAGAGAGTACATATTATATATAATTATAATGTACATTTTCTACAGTGAGATCAGCACTACCTACATCATGTATGGGGCAGGCCTACATATTCTTTCTTAGAATACTAAGAAGGCTTAGGGTAGGGCCAAAATATGTTTTTAATGTTTTGACAAAGGAAAAAGTACAGCAGTATGACCAAAAAACAAAAACAAAAGAAACTGAAGAAGTTTTATACCCCATCAACACTATTCAGATCATATAGGAGACAGGCTACAAAGGTATTTCAATCCTACCAGTCAGTACTGTGTCAGAAACAACAACCTGGGCTTGAGGAATAAAACATTTCAGAAAAAAGATGGAGATACTTGATTAACCCTATCCGTACGCCCTGGTGTCATTTTGTACCCCCGGGGTTGTATTCTGCACATTTTAGAATACTTTTTTTTGTACGAAGATCTCTTTGAAACTTTCAGTATTTCTCAAAAAATCATTTTGACAGACTGCTATGAAGAGAGTATGGATTGGATTAACGAGTAAATTTCCTCTTTGGAAGGTGGTGGCAGAGAGTTCCCCATGTTGTATGGATACAATGGTAAAACACGACATACGGATAGGGTTTTAATTCTCCTCTCACTGAAATCGAACTCACATCTTCTGTGTGTGCCACTAAGAGCCTGTTACACAATAGAAGATCAGATGATGGTGAGTATGGGATGTACAAAAATAAAAAACAAATATTGGACAAGAAACAGCTCAACTTTCCTCTGTGGAACTGATACAGAAATGAAAACATTTCCAAGAACTTGAAGAATGGATGTCAGAAGAAGTAAAAATACAAAAAAAGGATCTGTAAATTATAAAACATAAATGAGGACTCACATGAAAGAATGAACTTGCTCATATGTTCTCAAGCTGGAGAAAACCCAAAAAGGACTTCAAATTTTCAATTAAAAAACTTAAACACATTTTTTACTTTAAAATAAATTAAAAGGACATCTTTTCCTTATCAGTTAACCTATGATGACTTTGCAACACAAGCAAAAGGCCAGAGTTTGATCCCTGGGAGGAAAAACTTTTATCAAGTACATATATCTCAGTCTTTCTGCTGGGAAGTCGTATCCCTCTCGGCCTTTTCAACTTTCAGGCAGGGTCCAAGGCACACTTCCTAAATAATCTTGGGTTGATGTGGGCATAAAACTTCATGTACATTAAAAAAAAACAAATTCCAACCGTCTAGATTCAATATAATAGAACAAACAGCTTTGACAGTGTAATCGCCAGTTTTTCTGTAAGCTGCTCCTATCGTGTAGTAACACTGAGTAACAGTAGGTTATAAATGTTGAGGTGGTTCGTTGCAACTTTTGACTTTCAAACTTTCAATCATACCCTACCGTACTCTTTATCACTGCTCAACAAACCCACTTCAGATAACATGAGGAGAAAGGAAGACATTTATTTTTGATATTCAATCTCCACAAATTATGCACTTTCACATTGCCCCCATGGTATGTACAGGCGCTTAAACCATCGTATAAAAGTAGTTAAGAGCCGCATTCCCACCACTACTCGGTCGCTCATCGACATCCAGTTTGCAAGTGAACATCTAGTTCATCTAGCAAGAGATATGGAAATCCTGACCCATTTTCTTGGCTCATTTTATCCCCTCTGAGTGCATACAGCAAACATTTTCAAATTTGAGGAATACATCAAGCAAAAAGCTGACCGATAGACTTACTCACTCAGAATAGATGGTAAAACACGTGAAATCATGACTTTCCACAAAATTTGAACCCTATCCAGCACAGTGGTAGGCTGCCTAAGATAGATCCTCTATAACATGACTATACAAATAGGGAAAAATCTGAAAATTAAATTCTGATACCCATAGTATAATATAATAAGAGGGTCTATTTATACCCATAGCTGATAACAAACTATGCAATGATACTGATAAAGTGGGCAAGGGCAAAGAGCAGCATCCTCTTGAAGTTAATGGCTACCAGCTTGAGTTTTCCCAGAATAAGCTTTCCTGATATCAGTTTTTTTGGCTCGTCTTTTCCAGTAAGCTGCCATTGTTAAGTCTTCAAATTGTTCATGAAGATGTATCCCTCTCTACTAATAAAATAATACTAATATCATTGCTAAAAAAACATAGTAACACTGAAAACTAGTAAGGTTGATCTCTGTGGTTTTGCTTTGATCAAGAAATTCTCATGATATTGAGACAGAAGTCCATGAGGAACTCGTCAGGGCTCAGCCTCTTTGACCACCAGGCCCGGAACCTGGGAGGCGACTCCATGGACAGATGAGGGCAGATGCTCGTTGTGCTGATCTTGTACGGCGACAGATCGTCTAGAACTCTGGGGGTCACAGTGGACGGCAAAAAGACGTAGATCTGGCACTTGGTCTTGGAGCGGACACACTCAGACTTGGTGCTCTTGACCAGGCTAACCATTGAGTCGATGGGTGCTCCAGCCAGGTCATGGATTTTGATATTCATGTTCTGAGGCTTGACCAGCAGAAGATGGCGTGGGGGTGGGTACGTCTTGTAGAATATGGCATGATGTTGACTCGTGGTTACAGGAGAGGAAGACAGCTTCTGCTGGTAAATAGAAAGTGCTGGAACAAGTGCAGCTTGGTGAATGTAGCCGTAAACCAAAACTAGAAAAATATTGAAAAACGCCCACAAGGCAAAGAAAGAAAGTTTGGCGGGAGCCATCGCCGAGACAGTTTTCGCCCCTAACACAACTAAAACTGGCAACAAGGGGATGAGAAATCTGGGTTCCTGGTGGGGAAACACAGACAGTGCAAGAACAGGAAGCATCATCATGGAAGTAAGCCACAGGCTATCATAGAATCCATTATTCTTGTCACTTTGCCTGGTAAGACATCGCAGAATGGACAGCACTGACGTTATCACTATTGGCACGTACAAAGGCCCGGTCAAAAGAGGAAGGTTTCCAACAATATGGGTGTAACGAGGGTGAAGACCGTGCTGTGCCAGATTCTCTGTCCTCAGGTTATACTGGATAAAGTTCCAAGGGGTGACAATCATGGCAGAAGTCATGTCCTTCACACTAGATGACATGGCGGTAAAAGATATGCTGCCGTCAAAGAGCCCGTGGAGAGAGTGGGAAACGATGTTCACAGAGTCGGGGTTGAAATACAAGGTATCTGCAACAACAAAACCACAGAACACCACAAGTGCCCCGACACTCATAAAGAAACACGGACCTAACAAACGGAAAATACTTCTCTCCCTGAAGGAGTTAGCTTTCAAACTGTAGAGCCACAGCAAAACAGGTACAGCTACAAATACAGGAAATGTGGGTCTGTTGAAGAAGCCTGCCGTTATAAATGCTCCTAAAAGGTAGGCTCTCAGCTTTGAGGCCCCAGCAGAACATCTCTTGGCGTCTGAAGAACGACCAGACTGAGGTAATAACTTCGCTTGCCTTTCATTCTCTCTTTCTTTTCGTTTCTTCTCTTTTCCATCTTTTTTAACATCTTTTCTACTGTCAGCACTTTTCTCATCCTGGTCTGTCTTGGGACTTTCTCCTTTACCGCTATCGTCTTTAGCAGGTTGTGGCTCTGTATTTACAGGCAGAGGGAGGGAACTCTTCACAGCTGGAGAAGACAAAACAAGCAGTAGCACAACGGCCAGAAGGACGGCCTCCACTGTGTTGGAGAAGGTTCTGGTGAAGTACGCCCACGTCACATAAGAGCTACACCACAGCACCGTGCTCAAATACTCCTCAGCCCCAAAAACCAGAGCCAAACGGCTTGTGGCCAGATATCCAAACACGCTGAGAAAAGCAAGAGGCAGCCTTGTTGCCATGACTACCTTTACAGCTGAGATTTGAAGGCCGTGAATGCCCGTTGAGTTCATCCACCTGAGCAGTGATATGGATGGCCCTGCCACCAGGTATGGGAAAACAATACTGCGCACAGGTGTAGACGGCTCAAACTCCCAAGCACGGAAGTGCTCAACTCCTAGCATGTCCCCTAAAAAAAAAGAAGAAAGAATTAAAAATATTATGTACAATATTCAAACAAACAATAATTTGGGGGACAAATCAAAAAGCTACAATCCAGCACCTCCCACCCATCTTATTCCCTGCCTCCCAAATTCTTCGAGTCTCTAGAATTAAAAATCAACATGATGTTTTTGCTTGATTCTACTTTGATAATGCATTCTATTTTTGTAAAAATTAATGGTGTGCTGCATACCAGGCTTTTTTCTCTCGCATACTCTCTTCTTTTGCATATTTTGCCCATTTCTTTTTCACAAATTTTTTGAAGTCGTGATTTGAGTCACCCAGGGTAACGTATGTTGTCTGAATGATAGTTCTGTCTAAATTCTTGTGAAAGTGAAGAATACTCTAGTAGTGTTTGACAATACCATAGACAGTTTTACTTCATATTGAATTTTTTTTTTTAATTTAAAAAACTGTACACAGCATTTCTGGTACGAGTAAATTCCAACTCTCCATTTCCAAAAATAATTTAAAACATTGGTACATAACGTTATGGCAACTCACTTGCCCCACAGAGAGCAGAGACCCTGTATGACATGTGCATATCACATCAAGTCAGTTCTAAGCAGAGAGGGCTAAAGTTTACTTTCAATACTTTCTTGAGCCATTAGCAAAACATCAGAGCAACACAAAAAACAGCTTAAATAATGACAAACTCAAACCACATGATGCCATCACCACAGTAAGTTCACATTATTCATTATTTATACATCATGATGTCTGACAGTCCACAATAATTGATACCTGAAGTCAGTGAAAACACTACAGACAGCACAAAAAAGACTGTTCCAGCGCACAGGGCAGACAAATAAAAACAAACCTGGTTGTAGCATTTATAATTTATATATTATATCTCAACAGAATTCACATGAATACCATTACCAATGCCTGTAGATAAAGAGTGAGAGAGACTACACAGAAAAGAGTGCAATTATTTCTGCTTAATTAAGTTTTTAAATCATTACTTGCCTGCTACAATCTCGGAGGACTGGAAAAACTCATCTGGATGGATGTAACCCGGCTGAGGGAACAGTACTGTAATGAAGTTGACACACAGCAAAATGGTCGCCAACTTGTTCATTTTGACTCCAAGAAATTCGACAGCAAAAGCAGAATTTGATACAAGTGAGTAATCTGCGGAAAAATATAACCACATTTATTTAAAATTATTGAAGAAAACAGGGAAGTAAAATAAAAGCAAAATAGGGAGACAACTGATTCCCTCTTAAACAAACCCTTCTGCTCCTAAAAAACAACAACAAGAACACTATTTTGTGAAGTTAAAGCAGTCAAAGTCAAAGTCAATCATTGCCAATTTCAGACGGAAACCTACAAGCTGACCAGTGTGACTTCCTAACCCAATTAAGTGCACACGCGAGCATACAACATCCCATTCTAGGAACGAAGTTGTCTCACAGACATTACCAATATATGATGTGCATTAACTCTTTAAACCCCATCGGATGCTGGGAGCGTCGGCGGTAATAACCCTGTTCTCCATCAGACGCTGGGAGCGTCAGCGGTAATAACCCTGTTCCCCATCAGACGCTGGGAGCGTCGGCGGTAATAACCCTGTTCCCCATCAGACGCTGGGAGCGTCGGCGGTAATAACCCTGTTCTCCATCAGACGCTCCCAGCGTCCAATACCAGGGACAACTATTTCGTTTCATTTAGTGCTAGTTCTTGCTTGTTTTTGGAACTATTCCCGAACCAAGTTTATTTGTAACGATCAAGCCTTTGTTTCTGCCATTTAGAACTTATCTTAGAGGCAAGTTTTTGGGGTTATAATGAGACATAGTGGACCAGGTTTAGGTGACAGTAGTAAAAAAACTCTGGGAAACGGTGGAAATAACTCAGGGTCTAAAGAATTACAGTGGAATCCACTTGTAACGAGTCATGAAATAACGAAAAGTCTGTTAAATTGTAAATAAAATACTGCTATAGTGCAATCAGAAAAACATGCCAGTCGGTTATAGCAGACTATTGCTGCTGCTGCGCACAGCGCATAAGGCCATTTATTCATGCAAAACCTCGCCAGTTGTTGGTGATCTTGCAAAACAAAGAATGGGAGAGCCCATGTGTGCCAACAATGAAGGCGGAGCCAATGAGTGGGGAGGATGTGGTATGCACAGACAAGCAGAACGCATCGCGTGATAGGCCAGCCTAGTCTAGATTATCTAGGCCTAGCATGCCTCTCACGTCTCCAATGCGGGGATGGAGAGGCCATAGTGCTGTGATGTATGGAGCCAATGTATGATGTGTGCAAGCAGATGGAATAATGCATAACAGGGTGCGGTGGGGTGGGGGACAACACAGTGGGCGAGTTAGCCTAAAGAACTTTATTTTTGATTGCTAACGCCGAGCTGTCAACATCGCTAGCGCTAGAGAAAGAAACCTTTCGATTTTTGATCGAGTGACCTAGAGATCATGTTGCACCAAATCATCATCAGGGGAGATAACAAAAAAGAAACAAACAGAAAACCAGACTCATAGATTCGGCCTACTGTCCCTTGAATTTATTACCGGATCCCTTTTACGAGAATCCAGCTATAACGGATGTTTTGCACACTTTCTTTTCCCTAACAGTTGCAGTGGAGAAAACAATCTCTGCCAAACAATATGATGCGCAATACGATATAATATATATATGACAAACAAGATGTTTTGTTAGAAATTACGGACTTAGAGTTAACTCTTTAAAAGCCCTGACCTTTTTCTACCGTTTCTCAGAGTCTTTTCTATAGCCACCTAAACCTAGTGCACTAGCCTATGTCTCATTATCCAAAAGCTTGCCTCCAAGTTCTAAATGGCGGGAACAAAGGCTTCTAGTCAAATACTAAAAACTTGGTTTGGGAATAGTTTTTGAAAAACAAGCTAAAACTAGCTAAATAAAATGAAACAGTTGTCACTAGATCTAGATCTAGTACTGGACGCCCCCAGTGTTCAATGGGGAACACGGTTATTACCGCCGGACGCTATTAGCGTCTGATGGGGTTCAAAGAGTAGTCAGTATCGATATCCATACTCTTGGGGCAAAAAACGGAGAACGCCAGCTCGGAAGGACTTCCGTAACGAGCGACCCCCCCATCAAACACAATAAAGAAGAGGCCTAGACCTAACCCTACCCCTAACCCTACCGCCCCTACCCCAAGCCCTCAATTCTGCTCTGTCTCATAGTGGTCGCTCGTTATGGAAGTCCTCCCGCCAGCTCATTCTTATAAAACAAAAATAGAATTAAAAGTCAAGTTCAAGTGTGTCTGGGCCTGGGCGTGAGTAGGCTAGGCCCTTACATCCAGGCTAGTCAGTTCAGTGTAGTCTAAATCAGAAGGGCGATTTTGTAGTTTCGTTCGTTAAAGTTTAAACCCCTGAATTTTATCCTAATTTGATGTTTTGCAGGGGATGCATCCCTGCCCTTTGTGTAGCCAATTTCAAATAATATTGGTCATCAAGACTTCTGGATTTCTTCTTTGGATGTAAACAAATGGATCATGGACTTTAACGAACGGAACTACAAGATCACCGTCAGCAGTAGTAGTAAGTAGTAGATGGTGCAGACTGCATAAAATTGGCATGGTGTTGTAAGCCTAGTGAGTGTAGTAAGCTGCATGTTTACATTTTTACCTCTATAGTCTATACTGGACTATACTTGACTTAATAAGAAACTGCGCTTTTAGTCAGGATCCATTCACTTTGCTAGACTTTCCTTCCTGTCTTCACACAACGGCTCAAAATCACAGTTCAGACAGCAAAGTCTGTGACCAAGGCCAGGAGTAGGCTACTGCTAGATTAGATCTGCTGAAGTGTGCAAGTGAGTAGAGCGGAGAGCGAGGAAAAATAAAATGAGAGTGAGTAGGCAAGGCCAAGTAAGAGACTGCTCAGACTGGCCTGAACCAAACCTCTTTGGCCTGAATGAAAAAAAAGGACTTTTCCCCAAACTGGTAAAACTGCATTATAGATCTAAAGACTAGATCTAGCCAAACGTTCGTGGTTTCTTTCGGATCTTCATGAACCTGACTTTTTAGTTTTTAATTTGCTCTCCTCAAATTGAGTGCGAGATGTGTGACAAGAAAACGAAAACAATTGAAAACATGGCTTGGCGGGTTTTGTGATTGTCGTTTCTATGCAAAGTAAGTTTATATTTTCTCGAGCAGAGACAGAATGCCTTCAGTTTTCGTTTCATGATGTATGAAGAAGTTTACACATGCAATATTCTCCTCATTTAAATTTTAAACTTTGACTCTGGGTCGATTAAAAGCTTGTCAAAACACTTTCAAAAGTTCACTTTTTTGTGATATGGGTGTGTGAGAACCGAACTCAAAATAACAAACATATGATCATACGTGAAAAAATATCGACTGCTGTACTGTTGACGTTTTACATTTAATTTGGTAAGCTATTAGCCTAAATCTAGCTGTGATTGGTGATCTGTTCTTAAACTTAAACTGTCCTTCTTTATTACAAAATAATGCATTCAAACCAAAATGAAGCTACAGCACATCTCTGTGATTGGCCCAAAATAGATGACATTGGCCTCCTATATCCGCCATCTCTTTTTGTCGTCTTCTGGGGCTTCCCTCGCCAGTTGACAAGATCTCACTAGAGACAATGTACGTTAACATACATTGTCTCTGATCTCATGTGGCAGGCCCACTTTGTGTGTGTGGGTGTGCGTGCACACGCTTCACAATCACGGTGGAAAGTGGCTATTCTCACCCGCCCGGAAGTTCTCGCAAAATCAACTCCTCCCCTCTTCTCTCTCTCTCTCTCTGTCTCTTTCTGAATACTGTCTATCGGTGTGGACGATCAAATTGACCAAAACAAAGTTTAAAAATGATGTTAAAACACAAAAGTAAATAAATTTGGTTGTCTACAAAGATGCTACGGCTATTTAACTAACGAAGTGGCTAGCCGTACTTAAGTACGGCTAGACTGCCAGTCTAGCCGTACTTAGATCTAGGTTTGGCCCAATCGACTCAATCCTGTTAAGTACACAGGTCTCATGAGATCTAGATCTAGAGTTATTATATTCAGGTTCAAATACATGCAAGTCAGTAAGGCACCTTTTGGTTTTGTCTGAAATACAAATACTTTAGGCATTGCAAACTAAAATTTTCATTTACAATTCAGCCATCATTCAATATTAAGTACGGCTAGACTGACAGTCTAGCCGTCCTTAAGTACGGCTAGCCTGGCTGTCTACCCGTACTTAAGTACGGCTAGACAAGAAGTCTAGCCGTACTTAAGTACGGCTAGACTGCCAGTCTAGCCGTACTTATCTTAGGCCCTATTTACATTAGAAAACAGGAGGTTTAAAATACATGCACTGTCATTAAGGAACCTGGTTTTGTCTCAAATACAAATACTTTAGGTACTGCACACTAAAAATGTATATTTACAATTCAGTAGGCCTATTTTTTGTAAATGGTCAGTCTAGCCATCATATTAAGAATAAGTACGGCTAGACTGGCAGTCTAGCCGTCATTAAGTACGGCTAGCCTCTTCCTTTAACTAACTTTTCGATTCGAGCCGAACTACGCGGGTCGCCATTTTGTTTTGCCCGGAAATTCTCGCGCTACTCCTCTCTCTCTTTCTCTCTCTCTCTCCACTGCCCACAGACAAAATTGTACGCTTTTAGTAGGCTACAGTTGTAATGGAACGTTTGTTCACGGCACAGAATTCTACAATTTTTCTGTTTTCACAGTGTAGAATTCTGTGGTTTAGGGTGAACGCAAAATTTGGTGAACGCGCACCGGGTGAGAATAGCCACAAGACTCGCCTGCACTATTCTCACTCCGGGTGAGAATAGAGGTGGCCATCACGGCGTCACTTTTCGAGTTTTCGCCCGATTCTGTTACCTTCAGTTAGCGTGACTCAGCAGCCCGCCGGAGCTCCTCGGCTCGGGGTCACGGAGTTAATGAGCCCTGAAGCGACTTTGCCGGTGTCGGTTAGGTAGTTTGCATTTTTGACTATAATTAAAACGATATTATATATTTAGGCTAACTTCTTCCCCATCCCACACACAGTACAGCAAACCTTGGCATTACGCGCGGATGTACTAAAAGCTCAATGATTTGAGATTTATTCTGCATTAGAATGGTTAATTTCTGTGCCTTAGTTTTTGTTCTAGACAAGTGTTTGTAGAGTACCCAATTTGTAGGGCTGGATTCTGCTCGGTTAATGGAAGGCTTTTAACTTTTAAATCAGCGGACGTCTTGCGCTAGAGGCTTGCGAGCAGGCTTGTGGTTTGATTTGCCTCCCGCTTGCTACCGGAGGAAACTTCCGGTGAGTTGTGACTCGCGAACAGTCCTACTGTACTGTGTCGTGACGTCGCGAACTCTCGTGGCAGTGGGCTCAGTACATATTACAGAAGATTCTCTGGTTATTTGCGTTGAGAGACTTGCACCAAAAGTGCAAGATCGGTTGGGTTTTTTTTTCATAGTTCGGTTGTAAAAAACAAAAAGCTCTATTCAATGCACTTAAAAATTAATATTGGATCGGCTATTCTTATGATGTTAAGGCCTGTTTATTTTTAATGTGCACGAGCCAAGCGCTTCATCGTCGCACGCAAAAGACTTCAGTTCGATTCCCGTATGGGGAGAAATTTTTACTGAGAACTAGGGCTGGATCCTGCTCGTCAAATTTGAGAGTGGCGATTCGCGATTCAGTCGGCTTCAATGAATCGCGAGTACGCGAGCGCTCGTGGAGCTGTGGCGGAACGCTGACTGAAACAGAACAGTGTCATATCAACGCCTCTTGGCGAGCGCGAGTCCCACTCTTGCTGTTCCGCCATCCTCTCCGCCCCACACCCTTTGTTGCGCTGCTCTATCAACTGACGTCAATTAGTGACCCCCATAAATCCCCCCCCCCCCAACCCCACCATTCCCTAAAACAATGGCTCCATAAAATTCCTTCTGTCTATTGGTTGGACCCCGTTCATTTTGTTTTAATAGGGGGGTTGGACTATACCATCTTTTGTAAAATAAGGGGAGCCATACCAAGTGTTCCGTTCCGTTCTTGCGCTCGTGACTCGACTCAGCAGTAGGTTAAACAAGCCACAAGGTGGTGACAGCGACAGGGGAGTGAATCGGGAATCGTTTGGCGATACTGTTCCGTGTTCCACTGAAGTGAATCGGGAATCGCGTTCCGCAGGAAAGAGTGACGATTCAGTTCCGTTCTCGCGCTCGTGACCCAGCCCTACTGAGAACCTCCGTCTTTCTGCTGGGGCGTTGTTCCCTTTCAGCCCAGGTTGGCCCTGACATTGGGTTGAAGTAGGCCTAGCCTGTCTCCTAAATGTTCTGTATTATGTCACTGTGAGTGTAACACATCTACAAAATAGGTTACATACATACGATACAAAAGCCAATCACAACGACCCCTGGAGTTTTCCATTTTAGGGTAATCTAAGTCAACTTATTCTTATTACTACCAGAAACCTAGGTCTCTGTTACTGCAATACCACGCTCCCTCTCACTTATCCATTCGCTTAGAAGCTGATCAACGGCGGGAAGTTAAAAATAACTTCAGCTCTCTACGCCTTGCACCAAAACAAGCCCAGCCTCTCCCTTCCTCCACGGTTCAAAGTTCACACAGCGAACAGTACTGTCTTGCTGTTTGAACACATCGGACTGTCTTGTCGCCATCAAGACGGTCCTACGCCATCGAGCCCGTGCCGCTCGTTCGGTGTATCGAGACAGTAGGCCTACAAGTCAGCAGGTCAGGTTTGGAGCTTGTCCTGGGGCAAATCTCTAGGCCTAGCGCAAATCAGTACTGTGTGAATTGTGGGGCCTGTGGCCGCGGACGGGACTTGAGGCTTACGCAGGCCTTCGATTAATCGAGTAAACTACAGCGCCACGCCGCGCAGTGACTCTGTGGGCGAGATCTCTCACTCTCCCCCTCTCTCTTTTTCTGACGTAAGTGGCTTCGCGGATTGCAAGCAGGGTGGGGATGATGAGGGGGCCTGACACGAGTGGCTTCGCAGATTGCTCGTTGCTGTGGACTTGAAGTTTAGACTAGACCAAGGAGGTTACAGTTTGCGCTAGACTCAACCTATCATGCTGGTGATTTGATTTGATGATTTGACCTAGTGATTTGAGGCTTGTGACTTGAACTAGGGGCTTGTGAGCACGAGCGGGTTTGCTACCGGGGTACAGCCCTACCAATTTGTCCTATAGTTTCAAACTTATTCATATGAATAAAATTATTCTTGTTGATAATTTTATAAAGGCACTGCTCGATTGAAATTATGACATTGTTCTTTTCTTCAAATTCAAATTGTCTTTATTGATTCCTCCTCCAACTCCAAAATGAAGGAAAAACAATCGTTCATCGAAAAGACTCTTCATTTAGATGTGGGCCTCGAAACTAGATTATGATTTATGTCTGTCCGTCTAGATCTAGACTTAGGCCATATAGATCTAGAAGAACCTAGGTTTACCCTGAGCCAAAAGGGTGCTGAAACTTTCCGAATTCACAAAAGATTTCCCCTACATGGTCTCTTTACTTCGTGACTTTGTTCCCGGTTACCGGGTCTGTATACAGTCCCATTTTTAAATGTCTGAATATTCAGATACTTCAGTTGTGGTTGGGGCAACGTTCCCAGACTATACTTCATTTGAAAATACATTCAAAAGATATTGCGAGAAAACAAGACTTCTCGACCTTGGCAGTAACCTATTTTGCATTTAGTCACCCAGCAAAAAACTAAAATCCTTCATGCAACCCCCCCCCCCCCCCCTTTCACACCTTACACTCACATATATGCACACTCACGAGTCACTCCATTCGCTTATTATCAACAAATCTTGAGAATGGAAACCGTTCAGAGAAATAGAGTTCAAGTTTATTTTCCCGAACGTTTGGAGAAATAGAGTCGGCCAAAATTTTGATAGTTTAGCCCTCCGAACAGTACATCTGCGTGTGTGCAGGTTTAAAGTCTAAAAGTAAGAATTTACCAAATTTAATATAGTTTAGATACGCTTAAATAATGGTGCATGACTAGTTTTTATAGTGTTCAAAGCAACCGATTGAGAAAGATAGACTCTGTGTGACGGTGGTAGTGTGATGGGATAGTTTTCAAGAGACTCACAATGAATAATGGGCCTTTGGAGAGATAATAATAATAATATATAACATTTATATAGCCCATTTCCAAAAAAGTAGCTCAATGCGCTTTACATTGGAATACTCATTTTCAAATCCTTTCTTTTCATGCAATATTATGCACACTCTTCTTACACGTACGTGCGCGGACTATTTTCATTTAGACACAGGCACAGAACGACTAATTTTTTTTTAAATATTAAAAAGTGTTCAGTTTTTAATTGTGAAGACTACATAACGTACTCCCATGTTTGGAAGGCTAGAAACCCACCTGTGCCTTTCGTCAGGGTCTTTGGGGATACCATAGATTTTGATTTTCTCCCCATTTTTGTTTGGCTGGCATTGTCAGTTTTAGATAAAGTGAGTTATTTCTTCCCATGCTATAATTATAATAATCTCTTGAAAACCACCCTGTCACACAGTGTCTAGCCTTTGCAATGCATCATTAATTTTAAATGCATCATTATTTGGAATGATTTATGAATCTATATTATATGAATAAATAATAAATTTGTATACTTTTGTAGACACAGAAGAAGTGCTGACATCACATGCAACATTAAAATGAAAGAGAAACCATGTCAACAGTTTTATTAACATGCTCATCATGATCTGGTGTAAGTTATTTTCTTTCAAGTCTTTGTGATACTGAGCTATGCTATGCCCACTCAGCACACTTAATGTTTCAGAGTAGACACTGCTTTCTCAAATAAATATATTCACTTCTGGAATAGGGGAATTACCTGTCTGTTTTTGGCAACTATACAACTGTTGTTTGTGTTAAAGTAAGGAACGCAAGTTTTTCATGAAACTTTCTGCATTGCAGACTTCCTGCCGGACCCAGAAATAAAAAAAATTGTCCAATGTTGACAGTGCTGAAATATCGAGGAAGGGGCTGTAAGAAGGATTTTTATGTCTTTACTCTTCTCTTTCAGTTACTGGGTTGCTGAGTTTTTTAAATGTCAGTTGTTCTTTAATATGTTGATGTTATTGAATACTTTTTCTTTTCAGGTTTTGCTGGACTGATATAAAAGTCCTAGGTAATAGATTTTGAGAGCTAATTCTACAATCAAGATACATTGAGAGAGTAAGTCTTGTGATGCCATACTGGTTCTGGAGTGTCACAAACTGTGTGAAAAAGTTTTGTACCAACGCCTAGGTATGAATTCTCTTTATGATTTGCCTTTTGTTTGAAAAAAAAAAGCTATCATTTTAATTTATTCAATTGGTATTAAGGACAGGTTTCACTGCTATTTCAATGGCTTGAAAGTTATTCGAAGAACTGAATACACACAATATGTACACACAATATGTCTGTGTAATTTTGGGTGGGATGACATACAAGTATAAAGGCTAGTTATCTCTGAATATTTGAAATTTGGCATTTTATAGAGAGTAAATATAATGTAAGAATATAATATTAATGTCAATGTCAAGCTCTTTAAATCACTTTGTTGCCTTATGTGTCTTTTAAGTTTAATGTCAACAGAGGTTTAAGGCAAAGATCCCTCTCCTGCTTGGTTTCATCTTTATTTAAAAATGTATGTTTTGTCTTTGATTATCAGAGTTTCCTAATCAGTCAATTTAGGGTATCAGATAAAATATTGAGATGAATGCCTTTGTAATAGAAAGAATTTCTCCCCAGAATGGCAAAGAAGGGTTCAGATACGAGTCCTGTTATCGATGACACTCTCATTAGCTATGACAGGCACACTTCAATTGTTTCTGAACAAACCTTGGCCTTTACCCCTGCTCCAATTGCAGCTTCAACGGCACACAAAGATAGAAGGTATAAACTAAATAAGGATGTATCTAATATCTGTGTTTGTTGAATTAATGTCATTTTGAAACTACCACAAAAGGCACATTTTATTTAATTTACAGCACCGAATAAGAAGTAAGATTCTGTTGGAGTTAAAAGTATACTATACTTTCAAAGACTGTTCTTTCTCACTCAGAGTTTCAAAGATTTGTGTCTGTGATTTTGTGGTTGGTGCTTCACGGTGCTCGTAGAAGACAGGAATTCAATTTCTGAGTGGGGAAAGCTTGTTTGGTTTGGGGTTTTTCGGGATAAATTCTGGTTGTTGTTTCCGTTTCCTCTCCTCTGTGTTATGGTTTTCTTTCTCCAGTTGAATAGTTGAATGTGTATATTCTCAGTACATGTGTGTGCAGTTTTGTCCACTGTCATTTTCCCGTGGAAGAATGCAAAGATGTTACTAATGATATGCTTGTAATGTAAGTTATATAATTATTCTATAAAATGCTTTTTTTTTACATTTCAGACGAAAGCAAGATGTGATGGTTGATTATGGTGGGTCTTTCATCAACAATACCAAACTGGACTCACCTGAGGAAGGGAGGGGGAGGTAAGAACAAGACATACCTCCATGCACACCCCTGTCAATATTTTGTGCTTGTGGTGATAGTTATTGTAATTGTAGTCTTCGGTACTGTCTTTTTTGGCAGAGCTTGGAAGGTGGGCGGTTGGAGAGTGCTCTGGTGCGTTTTGCTCCTTTCCTATCAAACATCTGTCGGCCTTATCTCCCCTTTCGTCTTTTTTTATGTTTGTTACTCTCTTGTAACAACACCTCTAATCTTCTGGCGCTCATATGACCTTATGCAGTTGCGAGCGCCGTAAAACCTCTACTAAAAAAAAGAGCTTGGAAGTTAGTATTGTGTGTGGAGCAAAAATGAGTAAGCTTCAAGTTGAGTTCGTCTGTGTCATGCCACTAACAGGGCAGGTGCTTTACATTGTCAGTTTCTGTAAATTTCCTAGATGTCTTCAACATTATATATATATATTGTAAAGTTCAAATGTAAAAGTTGTTGTTTGGGTGGTTGGCGTTTGCTCTGGTATGGTTTGCTTCCTCTTTCCTATCAAACATCTATCGTCTTTATTCCCCCCCCCTTCTTTTTATGTTTGTTACTCTCTTGTAACTCCTCTAATCTTCTGGTGCTCATATGACCTTATGCAGTTGCGAGTGCCATAAAACCTCTACTATAACAAACAAAAGCTGTTGTGAACTCTGTCCCTTTTAACTGGTCTGAGGTGGAGCTGAGTTTAGGGTCGTGAGTAGGTCCAGATGGTTTTGATTTACAGCTTCAGTCTTGGCTAGAAAGTTTTACTTTTTTGCTAAGAATGAAGTTAAAAAGGCACTGACTGTTTTGGGAGGATATCTGATTGTAATGCTGTGTTTGGTTTCTTTTAAGGACAGGCGGGCTAACCCAGATTTCGGGGGTTTCCAGAAATCTTGATCTACACCCAAAAGTGGGCATTGCCCTACCTATAGGAGAAGTTTGGTTTCAGTGGTGTGTATATTAGCTTGGTTATAGACAAAACTCTCCTTGTCTTTTAAAGAAACTGAACAAGGGGCAAAAACTTTACCTTCGATTTTCTCAAAACAGCATTTTTCGGGATAGCCCCCTTGTGCTTAAAAGCGACCATATAAAATTGAGACTCAAGAAAGGTAGTTTACTTGCTACATTACATATTTTGATTGCGGTCAGCTGTACAATGGATGTGACAAATTTTTTTGCAGTGGCTCTACAAAACACCCTTTTCTAGAATAATGTTAAACGTGTGCAGATTACCTTTGTGAAACACGCGACTGACAATTTTTTTTTGTCCTTATTAATTTTAGTTCCAGTGATGATAGATCATCTCTTGGGCTTCTCCCTAGCAAGTACCTCGAAGGTAAGTTCATTGATTATATATAAGTGCATAAAATGTTTTGAACAATTTTGTTAAAACATTTACCTACTGCTGCATCTTGTGCTTTTCTTCTTTCTTTTTTACACTTATTCGTTTGACTTTGTAATGACATTTATTAATCTGAATCAGTGTGAAATCATCTGTTGGACAGTTTCCAATGCTTAGCATATGTGAAAACTGTTGCATCATTTGTCAAAATTACTTTCTTCAGAACAACGAAATATGCAGGTATTTTTCTAGAACACAGCTTAGGTGTGTGTCATCGCGGTGAAATCAGGCGCTCTTCAAAATAATGAATCAGGAGAAATGGACATTTTTCTGGCAGTTGGGCAATTTTAAATCTTTTTTTTTTTTAACTCAGCACCTCCTATTGCCATTCAAAAATACATTTCTGTGTGGATTTTACTGAAAAACTTATACATAAGGCAGAAAAAATGTAAATTTGCAATTTCGAAGGACACTCAAGCTTTGGAATTCCCAGAACTTTGACAGCCATTTTCATGCTAATTTTACTCGTGACTCCAGGCGACCCCCACCTTCCTCAATTGCAAATATCTTGACTTTTGTATTTTTTTCTCCAAAAGCAAGACCATTAAACAAGCTTTAACTCTTTATCTCCGTGGGGGGGGTAGACCCACAATGCAGGGACCCGTTTTTGGTACTACTAAAAATGACGGAAACGTCACTAAATTGGGCATTAAATCAAAACAAGTGAACCTATTTCGATAGTTCTTCATCTAAGGAATGAAATCCCGCTAATAGAGGCCTGTGCCGAAAAGTAATTTGACGTCGAAGTCGTCGTAAAGGAATGTGCCCGAGCCACTGTCAGCGGCTCACCAACACAGCAGTTCCGACCTCGAGCCGCTAGGAGCGGCTTGCCGGAGATAAAGAGTTAAAAAGATACTAATGTAACTCCATTGGCCCAATAATTCATGAGTACCTGATTCCACCATATCATAAAACATAATATGTCTTATATTTTATAAGACAGCAAAGAACCTTCTCTCATTATCATAAATGTGGGTGGTTGGCGGGTGCTCTGGTGTGGTTTGCTTCTTCTTTCCTATCGAACATCTATCGTCTTTATCTCCCCTCCTTCTTTTTTATGTTTGTTACTCTCTTGTAACACCTCTAATCTTCTGGCACTCATATGACCTTATGCAGTTGTTAGCGCCTTAAAACCTCTACCAAAACTTTTTGAAATGTCCCTTTTGTTTTGCTCAATGTGCGTTACCATGTTGATCTGCCGTGGAAGCTGACTGAGAATGAATACTCACGTTTACTTATCTGTGAACTGTTTTGTGTAGATGTAGAAACAGATCTTCTTCGGAAGGAAAGTGTCTGTGAGTATCCTGCTCGGTGTTTCCTTCATTTGTGTTGTGTCAAAAATAGTTTTCTTAATGGTGTTCCTGTTGGTCTTTTTTATTCATGGGTACAGGTTTTTCCTTGGTGTGTGTGTGTTTGGGGGGGAAGTGCTCACAGTAGATGATAAATGAGAACTTCTATAAATTACGTTGTGTTACACAGCATTTGCTCTGTTTTTCATTGGTCTACAAATCATTTGGAGTCTATTAAGTAGAACTGGGTTGTGCTTTGTGCACCACGAAATCATAGTATCGACTGATGTTATTTCATTGTTTGCTTTTTGAAATTCTGTGATATAGTTTGATGTACACATTCAGTCAAATGGCTTTTTTGTGTGTGTGTGTGTGTGTGGTTTTCTTCAAACAAAACTTCCCTGAGGAAAAAAATGTCAATTTATTACAGGACAAAAATTATTTGTTTCTTTTGTGCTAAAATTTGCTGAAAAATTAATTCTTCTGAGAGTTGAGAACTAACTGCTTGATGCATTCACACTCTCTTATTTTGGGTCATGCTTGCTGTGCTTAAAGTAATTCCACGACATGTTGATTCATAAAGGTACTTGATTTTCGTTTTGTGGAGGCGTTATTGAAAGGCTGGAATTTAGAGAAATTGCAAACATCTTCATCTTGTACTCTTAGTTGATGTCCCTTCCAGCAAGAAAAATTTTTCCCGACATTTGTTTAAAAAAAACGCACAAAAAACAAGTGGTATGGAAATAAAGCCTTTTTTTTTAAAGCTTCGTCTGTAATACTTGAACAAGACCAAGTTTCCTCAACTGTATGCACATTGTGCCCAACTCCAAGGTTATTTTTTCTTCATGTAAAACTTGTGTGTGCTGGTCCCCTTTTGTTCAAAAAGTTTCTTAACCCTATCCGTACGCCCTGGGGTCTTTTTGTATCCCCGAGGTTGTATTCTTCACATTTTAGAATACTTCTAGTACGAATATCTATTTGAAAACTTTCAGTATTTCTCCAAAAATAATTTTGACAGACTGCTATGCAAAACATACGGATCGGATTAACGAGTAAATTTCCTCTTTGGAAAGTGGTGGCACAGAGTTCCCCACGTCGTGTGGATACAATAGTAAAACACGCCATACGGATAAGGTTAACTCAGTACATCGAGGTAGAGGGACAGAAGTCCATTGTTACAAATGGGGAAATTAATTGTCACTATTCAAGTTGCCAACGTGGGAAAGCTATTTCTGTTTCTTTAACCTATCCGTACGTCATGTTTTACTATGGTATCCATACGACGTGGGGAACTCTGTGCCACCACTTTCCAAAGAGGAAATTTACTCATTAATCCAATCCGTACGCTTTGCATAGCAGTCTGTCAAAATGATTTTTTGAGAAATACTGAAAGTTTCAAAGAGATCTTCAAACTAGAAGTATTCTAAAATGTGAAGAATACAACCCCTGGGGTACAAACTGACCCCAGGGCGTACGGAGAGGGTTAAATACTTTCTGTTTGTGGTGCAAAACATGCTGAGCTGATTAGTTGTAGTTTGCACTTAGACTAGTAGAGTGTTTGCATGCTTTAGTTCGAGGTGTTAGAGAGGTCGGTGTGTGGTCTTGAGCACTAGTGGGTGGCAATCAGTCAAATTATGTTAAGCTCCTGCAATTTCTCTTGTACACCATTCCTTTTTTTCTCTATTTTCACCCGCCGTCTTTAATTTTCATGTCGAACGTGTACAGTGGTTGTAATCTATTAGTTTGCAAAAGGAATTTCCTCGCTCTTTAAAAAGATGTACATGTCCATCTGTCGTTTGCATTTTGCCGTTGTGCCTCGTCCTAACAATGCATGACTTGAATTGTGTCAGTGTTGTATCTTTTCCTCACATTTTCACTTCTTGACCATTATTGGTGGCTGGGCTACTGCTGTTTGATTTGATGTAATATAATATAGTCTGGGCCTTTTTATTTTTACCCATCATTTCTATTGGTATGTTTTGTTTTTTAAAATGTGGGTTGTATTGTTGTAATAGTATTTGTGTCATGACTTGGTGGAATCAGGCACTCATCAATTGTTGTGCATATGTGTGTGTGCCTAGAGTAAGATACCAAAAGTCGGATTTTGACCATTTTGAGTTAAGGGTTGTACCTTATAAAAAATTCAATGCTGAACACAGAGGTTTTTTAACTGTTTTAAATATTTCAAGTAGTTTTTTAGATTATATTGCACATTTTGCGAGGTAGGGTATAAAAATTTGATTTTGAGAAAATGAGCTTCTAAGTTTCACAAACGTGAGAATACATGCAAGCTTTAAAAAAAAACACGATTTTTTACCTGTATTTATTCATGGAAAATTCATTTCCAATTTGGCTTTCAGTTAACATCGATATCATGAATGGAATTCAATGGTAACACATAGCAGGGAAGAGAAAACGTGCTTCAACAATAGATTTTAACACTTGTTAAAAGCAGTTTTCATTATTTGTTTTTTTTATACCCTTGCCTCAAAATAATTCAAAATAAAACATTTAGAAGTCATATCAGTGAAAACCGTTTGAGCACATTGTAAAAAAAATGTTGGATCTATCATTTTTTTAATGGAAACACATTTATTTCGGTCAAAAAAGTGATTTTTGTCATTATCATCCTGTAGCTCGAAACAGTCTGGGCCGACTTTTGGTACCTTTCTCTAGGTGCACACACATATAGAGTTATTGGTATATTAAGGTTTGTTCTTTTGTCTTGCTTTTGTTAAGAAAAAGTACCCATACATCTTGAACACAAGTCGAAATATTTGTGATTGAAAGAGATGGGGGGTCATCTGGTGTCAGCGAGAAAATCTCCACCGAAGTACGCTGATTTCCAAAGCTGTAGTGTCCTTGACAACTGTACATTTACAATTTTTTTGCTTTTGATCAATGTTTTTTAGTCAAATCGACAACGAAATGTGTTCTTAAATGGATACAAAAGGTGTTACGCTCAAAGAAAAAATTTTGGGGGTAGGGTGGGGGGGGGGGGGATTTGCCCAATGGCCAGGATAATTCCAGTTTCTTTGGTTTGATTATATTTTGACGAGGGCCAGATTTCACCAGGATGCTTCACATTTGTGTTGCCTTGCTGAGGGGTAGAACTCGAGCCGTTCTTGCTTACAACTCAACTTCACTGTACTTCCTAACTATTTTTATCTGTTTTGATCGTTCATATGTGTACAATGTTTCTTGGTTTTATTTTATAATATTTTTTTTTAATGTTGTAAATTTTTGCGAATATCCAAAAGCCAGGTTTGCTGGAATTTTTACAAATTTTCAGAAAAACGTGTAGTTCAACGAATGGCTGATGTTAAATTTCTCGCTCTCAGACTTTCTTTTATTTAATATGGAGACTTCCATGAATGATATTTTGCACTGACCTAAGCAACAGTCCAGACATGTCACTTAGTTTCGTATATAGAGTTACAGGTGTAGAGATCTTGTGCAATTCAATATGGTGCTAAGTAACATCAATAGTTTTCTGGTTCACAGAGGAATTTGGGCTTCTATCACTAAATTCTCTTACCCAATGATAAGCTGGGCTAAATGAACAAGCAGATTCTCCACACAAATACTCTGCAACTTGTTATGATTATATCTTGGCGATTTGCCAAATTTACGGTGCATAAAGATGGTAAAATGGATGTTTTCTTTTGCGAATTTCATGTTTTTCCTCTGAGCGTTAACTTTCACTTGTTTGTGATATCATAAAATAATCGTTTGACATCAATTAAAACTCTTATGGTTGTTTGTTGGGGTTTTTTTGGTAAGTGTTTTACGGCGCTCGTAACTGCATAAGTTTATATGAGCACGAGGGACACACCAAACATTTTCAGTTGGTAGGAAATTTTGAATTTTGCCCAGGTGGCGGCTAAAGCCTACTCTTATCGATTTTAGACCACCAAGGGGTCTTTATGGTGCGCAACGTGCACACGGGACCTCCGAGATTTTTCGCCCTTGTTCGAGAAAGCTAGGTGTAGATCTTTCCTATCAGAAGATCAGGGGTGTGGCTGAAAGACAGCAGTAAGGAGCCAAGGAGTAGCAGTTACTGCAGAAAGAGGAGGGGGCAAAGGAGATGGGGGGGGGAGGGGGCAGAAAGCGGAGACGAAAGCAGACGATAGAACATTGCTAATGAGCTGGAAAGGAGACAATTTTGGAGAAGAAAATTTTTCCGTCACTACCCGGTTGGTTTTAGAATAGACATGTTGTAGATTTAATTATGTGTATTGCTTTTATGATTCAGGTCAATATCTTAGCTGTTAGATGTCGACTTCCTTTACTTTCAGAACCAGCTATTTGAGGATATTATATTCAAAGAAAACATAACAATGGCAAATTAACGAACAAATGATACATCTTTAGGCATGAAGCAAATGATTACTAGGACAATTATAACTGTACATGGGGTTCAGATGCGCAAAATCAACGATTACTGGTGGATGAGATGAATTTATGTGCACAACAATTGACAGTGTAGTGTGGAGATCAGGCTGAACATTTTGGAACGCAGTATAATAGGGTTTGATAAGAAATAAAAATACCAGGTGAATGACCTAATTTCTAACACATTTTTAACGTTCTGTGATGAGCGTAAAATCTTACTTAAACCAAAACTAGAGGAATTTGTTTTTGACCACATTACACTCTTCTTGCCTTTTCATCTCCTAACTCAAAAGTAGTTGTGCCGACGCCTAGGACCTTTCTCCAGGCACACTTACATTTGTGTCTCCGACTGTTTCTATTTTCAAGGGTGTTCAATGCATTTCATTCAGAAGGATGATCACCAGTGTAAGAAACGCTTGGCTTATTCGCTCTTTCTTTCTGTGTATCTGAAAGGTATGTCAGCCAGCCTGTTGCCCATGGACCCGGTCCCCGAGACTCTCAGTGTGGACGACAGTGAAGGAGGGAGGCACCTGATAGACTCAGGGTCCTCACGGGAGCAGACGTCAGACTCACGGGAGTTGTTCTCCACTGTGAAAAAATGCCCACAATGTAAGGGAAAGTTCTGATGTGTGGATTTAGAAGCTAGACTTTGAAATAATTTTTGATGCTGTAGTATGTTCTTTATGTACACATCAGTAAAATATGATCCTCGAGGTTCAGATTTCTTTGTGGTTTTTTTTTGGTCTTTCTTTTAGTTACCACCAATCTTTTGATCTCAGAAAAGTTGCTATGTGGGTGGTTGGTGGGTGCTCTGGTGTGGTTTGCTCCTTCTTTCCTATCAAACATATATCGTCCTGATCTCTCCTTTTTGTTTTGTGTTTGTTACTCTCTTCACTTGTAACACCTTTGATTTTCGGCATTTATATGACCTTATTGTGTTGCAAGTGCTGTAAAACTCTTACTAAAACTTAAAAAAGACTTTGAAATATTTTTTGAACCTCTAGTATGTTCTTAATGTACACATCAGCAGTAAAATATGATCCTTTAGGTTCAGATTTCTTTGGGTTTTTTGGGGGTTTTTCCTTTAGTTATCACCAATCTTTTGATCTTGAAAAAAGTTGCTATGTTTGGTGACAATGCATTATTGTGATTACTTTTAGTTCAATATTGGTTTGTCATACAGCTCTGCTTATCTGTCTGTTATGTTTCTCTTCATCTTTTCACATTTCTTGCAGTTCCACAGTTGTGAACGCTGTAAAACTTACAAAACTGACACTTACATTTCTTGGAGCACTATAAGTATGTGGCTGCTATTCTTATTTGCCTGTTGTTATGTGAACTTTATGTGAATAGATGAATCTGAACAAAAATTTTTCCCCGCTCAACTGACTGAAGTGTCTTTAGGCCATTCTCAAAGGGGGGACATTTCTTGTTCTTATGCTTTGTAGAATTGTAAATGGGCTGATTCAACAATGTCATGCTCATAACTGTGCTTGAACTACAACAGGGAACTGCTGCTTTTTCTTTCCTAATCCTTACTATCGTCATTTTCCTCTACTTCTTTCATATGTTTGTCACACTCTTGTGACCCACTATTTCCGGGATGCCTTGAAAGTCAAAACAGACTTAATGCTGTTGAAGCTAGAGAGGGGAGCAAAGTAAGCCCGATTCCCTGCAAAGACTTCTCTGTTGACATCCATCCCTTGGCGCTCATATGACCGTATGCAGTTGCGAGCGCCTTAAAACTTCTACTAAAACAAAATAAACATGACACTTACAATTCTTGAAGCACTATAAGTATGTGGCTGCTGTTCTTATTTGCCTGTTGTTATTTGAACTTTATGTTTACAGATGAATGTGAACAAAGTTTTTTTTTAAACAAACTGTTGGGTTTGGTGTGTCTCTGACACTACCGTTGATTGTCTTCCAGTTGCTGGAGCTGCAGGGACCAACCAGCGCCGGCCCCAGGCTCTCTTCCAGAGCGTGGCAGAGGAGAATGAGTTCAGTCTCACAGAGGAGGAGAACAAAGGGGCTGATCACAGCAAGCCGGGCCCTCATGACTCTCACGACAAGCAGGGACAGCAAGACAAGCAGGACTTTACAGATTCTGGCATGGGTCAGACCCAGTTCACAGCCACCCACAGGTTTGTAATTGTCGAGAAAAATAATTTTGTTTCCCCGCTTTTCTTTTCAAATACCCAAATGCATCTGATAAAAATTTAAGTTTTTTTTTTTCTTCTTTGCATTCCCCTGCTAGATCTCAGAGTAATTCGGTTGGCGGGTGCTTTGGTGTGGTTTGCTCCTTCTTTCCTATAAAAAATCTATTGTCTCTATCTCCCCTCCTTCTTTTTTGTGTTTGTTACTCTCTTGTAACACCTCTAATCTTCGGCACTTATATGATCTTATTGTGTTGCAAGTGTTGTAGAACTCTTACTAAAACTAAGAGTTATTCGACTGCTAGCTCTTTAACCTGCAGTTCAACTGATTTTTACTACTCCATGTGGCACTTTGCCTTCAGGCAGCCTTATTCCAATTTTGAACGTACTCTACGTATGTTTTTATACTGACTTGGAGAATTTTCTGTTTTGGTTTGAATTAATTTGGAATTTTGCCTGGACGTTGGCCGAAGCCGACTCTTTATCAGTTTTAGGAACAAAAAGAGATCTCCAAAATTTATTGCTCTTATCGGAGAAGGCTAGGTGTTCTGTCTTAAAATGAGGGGTGTGACTGAAAGACAGCAATAAGGAAGAGCCTTGAGTAAAGGAGATTGGAGCCCAGAAGAGGTCAGGGGTGGGGGAAGAAAGTGGAGATTTTAAAAAAAGATGAGAGAACAGGATAGGAGACAACAGGAGAACATTTTTTTCATGGCTGTCAGGTTTCAATCCCAGGACCTTTTGAATGAGAGGCAGCACTGCACCTCTAGACCATGAAATCCCTTAAGTTAGTTTGTGATTTCTTGATGGTGTATATGTTTTCGTATTTAGAAACCAACCGACTTACCAAGACCAGAGATTTTTCAATTGATTTTATCCTTTATAGGTTGCATGTGACTTTCTGTTGTTTCTTGTTGTTGTTGTTTTCAAATCCCTTTAGCTGTGAGCATTTCGCTCTTGGCAGCGCAATGCTCCTACATGTCCTTGTCATCTGGTCAACGCAAGAGTAGAGCACGCTTTGTAAGTCTGTAGGTGTGTGTAGAAGCCTGCATCAAAGAACTGCCAGGTTTGGGCAGAGAAGGAGAAGATGTTCAACAGTCTCCTCGTGGTTGTCACAGTGTCTGCAATGGGGTTCCCACATGGGGTTAATGTGACTTTCTGTATCTGAAGCAATTTGATTCTAGTCTTTTTCCCTCTGGTTCAGGTCGTCATCGTCTGTGTCCAAGTCCTCCATGGGCAGCAGCCTCCAAGGGCAGAGTACCATGATGGCAACTGTCTCCAGCAACACACTGACCGCTTCTGCCAGCCATTCTGACCACATGACCACTGGATCACTGACCTTGACTGATGGAGGAGAAATCAGGAGGGACCAGGGAGAAGTCAGGAGGGATCACACTTTGACTGCCCCAATGGCCAACTCGGTCCAAAGTCTGGAGGAAAGGTCCACTGTGCCCTTTGACCCAGAAGAAGAAGCAGACCACACATTGCACCAGGTCATTAGGATTTTTGTGTGTGTGTGTGTGTGTTTTAATAGAAGTTAAGACTTTTACTAGGAGTAATTTAGATCATCATTTCTGGATCCATGGCAACAACAGATCTGTCCTGAGGTGATGCAAATGGTTCACCTTCTAAACAAAATGTGAAGAAAAACATATATTCCATGAAGAACAATTTGGACTTCGGAAGATTCAGACCCCAACCCTTCGCATGTTGATATGGTTGCTTTTGAGGACAAGCGGGCTAACCCAGATTTCAGGGGTTTCCAGAAATCTAGACTTATACCAAAAGTGGGCGTTGCCCTACCTATAGGAGAAGTTTGGTTTCCTTGGTGTGTATATTTGTTTGGTTACAGAGAAAACTTTCCTTGTCTTTTAAAGAAACTGAACAAGGGGCAAACATTTTACCTTCGATTTTCTCAAAACAGCATTTTTCGGGATAGCCGCCATGTGCTTAAAAGCAGCCATATGTTAGTACTTCTGGTGAGAGCGAGGAAAGTTTGCCCATATTTTCTTTTTTGGACAATGCTAGTTAGCGACAGCACAGCTTGAAGGAAGAATATTTCAAATATCGTCACATGCAAGTTAGCGGGACGTTTTTGTCCATCTGCTTCCCCAGTTTGCCTATCAAACCAAATTCCATGTTGGATGAAGATAAATGTATATATTGAGGAAGATTAGAAAGTAAAGCTGTTCCCGTGTCCGATCCGGACATTGGGGATTGCCTTGTTAGTGAGACAACTTCCTGGGCCTTCGGCATATTGTGGTAGGGTGGTGAGAAAGATTTTGGTTTCTAAAATGAAGATATTACTTTTAATTCTTATGTAAAAGACCGGACCATGAAATTCTATTGAGACAGATCCCAAGGCACTTTTCGGGTACTTGAATATGAGTCTTATGTGCTAATTCAGGCTGTCTGGGTTGTAAATTTTTGTTCGTTTTCATCTGTCGTTTCAGTGGGAAGAATTTATTACATACATACAGTGGAATATGAGAAACTGTCAAGTTTTGTTTGGTTTCGCTAGTTTTCTTCTTCTTTTTTTTTTTTTTTTTTTTTTTTTTTTTTTTTTTTTGGTTTAGAGATGCACAAATAGAAGAGAAGTAAAATTGAGGGATTTTATTTTACTTTGGTTTATTGGTGATGTTTTGGGATTAACCTTGTTAATCGGTTTTAACGAACTCCACTGTTTATACAGTCAAACCTGTTCTAATGGCCATCTGTCCAAGACAATCACATGTACAAACGACCATTTCCCACTTCCCCTTTTGCATTTTTTCTTCTGTCTTAGAGGACCGCCTATCTCAGATTGTGACTTTTCTTCTTAACAGTGGGTGGTCATCTTGAACAGGACCGACCATATGTTCTGGCAACGTGCTCCTCACTGCGAATTTTGAACAAACACCACACATGACCGGTTCTAAAAAAAAGCATACCCTCAAAATACTTTTAATAGTTTTTCTGCTGTGGCTGCATTGTTGACTGCTGACTTTCCTGGTCTTTTACTCCCTTGGGGAGGGCACAACTGGCAGGTCATTTAACTTGTTTTCTTCATGCCCTCAGGTTGCTCTGGAGGCTGAGGATTTGGAAGAACTGGAGGCGTTCTCAGACTTTGAGGAGGACGCAATGTTTGATGAAGGTTTGCTCCCTATGGGGTTGTTGGTTGTTTGTTTTTTTGGTTTGGTTTTGGGTTTTTTTGTGTGTATATTAAAGTTGCAGACTGCATATTGGACTCTTCTGATTTTCTTACCACATACATGCCGGCACGCACATACGATCGTACAAGACACAATATTCCATTTCTTAAATGTGACGTCAGTATCTGTATCTCGTCTACATGTATTTTGACAATGAAATTAAATACTCTGGTGCTCACAGTGAGGTCCAGTAGGTGGTTGGCGGGTGCTCTGGTGTGGTTTGCTCCAGTCCTATCAAAGTCTATCGTCTTTATCTCCCCCCCCCCTTTTTTTTTTTGTGTTTGTTACTCACTTGTAAAACCTCTAATCTTCGGCACTTATTTGACCTTATTGTGTTGCAAGTGCCGTAAAACTCTTACTAAAACTAAAACTAAAAGGTTGGGGTCCAGTGTGATCTCCTTCCCGTCTTTGACCTTGGTGAACTGATACAAATTTACTAATATGTTTTTCGTTTAGAACGATTTGAGTCTTAATTCCTGTAAATACACTTTTCCTGACTTTCAAATGTGCCTGATTTTAAACTTTTAAAAGTGAGTAGATCTATGGGGTTTTTTCTCTTTTATTTCACTAGTTATTTTAAAGAGCCTGTTGCACCAAGTTTTTATCATTACGTTTCGAAGTTCCAAAGAGATGTCTTCTAGTGCACAGGTGAAGAAAGCTAATAGTGAGTCTTTACATTTTGTTTACTTCTCAACAGATGTGGCTGTAGTGCCTCCAAGTTTTCCTGAAAATGGCATCAGGTACGTGTCTGTATGAAACACATTTGTTTGTCCTAGTTATTTTGTAATAGTGACATCCTTTACTTTAGATGTTTCAAAGTGAAGCTATGTATTCTTTGAACTAAAAAAGAAAAAAGGTTCTGTGATTAGAACGCTGCCCAGCAATAACATCAGCTATTGTGGAGTGTATTTTCTGTATGTTATGTCCTCTACTGGTGGGTTATCACTTTTAAGAATGTGGGTGGTTGGCGGGAGCTGTGGTGCGGTTTGCTTCTTCTTTCCTATGAATGAAACATCCATCGTCCTTATCTCCCCTTCTTCTTTTTTGTGTTTGTTACACTCTTGTAACACCTCTAATCTTCTGACGCTCATATGACCTTATGCAGTTGCGAGCACCGTAAAACCTCTACTAAAACTAAAACTTAAAGCAAAGCTTTGTATTCTTTAAACTAAAAAAAAAAAAGTTCTGTGATTAGATCGCTGCCCAGTAGTAACATCGGCTACTGTGGAGTACATTTTCTATATATTATGTCCTTTACTGGTGGGTCATCACTTTTTAGAATAGTGAAATAGGTGAAAATGACATTGTTTTCTAACGTAATATACAGTGGTAGGCAGACAGCACTCCACACTCTCACACACTCCCTCCACCTGTTTCAAAGGGCACTGTAGACTTAGAAGGACATCAGTTCATTGACATTGGCTTATTGGTCGCTTTTATGTACAAGGGGGCTATCCCTAAAAATGCTGATTTGGGAAAATCGAAGGTAAAGTTTTTGCCCCTTGTTCAGTTTCCTTCAAAGACAAAGAGAGTTTTCTCTATAACCAAACAAATATACACACCAATGAAACCAAACTTCTCCTATAGGTAGGGCAGTGCCTACTTTTGGTGTAGGTCAAGATTTCTGGACACCCCCTAAATTTGGGTTAGCCCACTTGTCCTTAAAAGCAACCAATTATGCATGGTCATTTTCAGTGAAGGAGGAGGAAATGGGTGGGGGGGGGGGGGGGGGGGGGGGGGGGCGATGAGCTACACTATGTATGATTGGGATGATATTTGATTAAACTTTTTTAGAGGTGCCTTTTCCCTATTCTATGTGGCCTGAGTGTTTGCTGCCTTGACCCTTCTGCATTGCAGCATGCCTCATTGTCTCTCTCTTGCCCTTTTTAACTCCCAGTGGAGCACAGGCCATCAACAACATTACTCCAGCGAAGCCTGTCCTGAGCATCCTTTTCTATCTGTTTCCATGATGTCCCCGCTTTTTCAATTTCCGCTTGTACCGCTCGCCTCCATGTCATCTTTGGTCTTCCCTTCTTACGCTTTCCTTGTGGGTTCCACGTTAAAGCCTGTCTGATGATGCTTGTTGGGGGTCTCCTCAGGGTGTGTCCAATCCATTTCCATTTCTTCACCTGAATATCTTCCTTTACTGGCCTTTGGCTTGTTCTCTCCCACAGTTGAGCATTAGTAACTCGATCTTACCACTTGATCCCCACTATCCTTCGTAGGCATCCATTTACGAAGCTCTGCAGTTTCTTTGCTGCTGATGCTGTGAGCCTCCATGTCTCTGAACCATACATGCCTCATTGTAGCAGACTTAAAACAATGGGTGAAGGGGCATTTGAATACCAAGGCCCCAAGATCTGGAATGCTTCACCAAGTACTTTAACAAGAGTGATCAAATCTTTTGATTCATTCTAAGGTCAGCTGAAGTTGTTTCTGTTTTTAAATTAGTAAGATGAATATCTGGAGTGATTTTCTTTTAGTCAGAACACCGTTATAGGTAACTGTTGTACGTTGTACTGTATTGTAAAGCGCTCAGAGCCTGTGTACTTTAATCGGGGTTGAGCCCTATATAAATGTCATTTGTGAGGCAGCGTGGTGGAATCAGGCTATCGTCAATTTTTGGTCATGTAGAGTTATTGGCATCATCTTCGACCTTGTTCACTTGTCTTTATTTGGATGAAAGAAATATCCATTTATCTTAAATACAAGTCGAGATATTAGCGAAAGAAGGTGGGGGTCACCTATTTTCAGAGGTAAAATTAGTGAGAAAATGGTCGCCAAAGATTAGTTATTTCCTTAGCTTAAGAGTCCGTGGTAACTGAAAATTTACATTTTGTGTGCCTTTAATCAACGCTTTTCAAGAAAAATGAACACAGATATGAGTTCTTTAGTGGGCATGAAAGGTGTTGAGCCAAAAAACAAAAATTCAATAAAAATTCACAAACCTACGGAAAAATGCAAGTTTCTTCACTTTGATTATTTTGACGAGAGCCTGATTCCACCACGCTGCCTCACATTTATTATTATTATTATGTGAATCCAGCAAATGTCTCAGGGAGCTGATGTGCATTGGTTATTTAGGCTTGGGGGCGGCTTCTCAGAGGGTTATCCACATCAGGAAGACTAGATTCCCTTTTTTTGGGGGGTGGCTAATTTATGGTTGTTCTCATTCAAATTCAGGGATGTGGAGGAAAGTTCTGGATTGGGTTTATTTTCACCCTCCGTCTCCACAAGCACCAAGGTGGTTGATGAAAATTTCCCATCACTTATGGATGGGCCGTTCAAAATTCCTCTCCCTCCTTCTAGACCAGCTGGATTGGCAAAAGATGTTAAAGGTGAGTTTGGACACAGTTTTAGATTATGAGACACACATGTCTTGAATAGTGGGCAGACTGTTGTGGTGTTTTCACAGTGGAGGGGTGAAGGATGTGCTTTTGTCTACTATGGGCGCCTGCCTATTACAAGGTGATTGGAAAAGGCATTATATGGGTATTGTTTTTATTTTTCACCTTCTGCCTTCAAAGTGACTTTTTATGTATGATCTACATTTAAAAGTTTGTGTTTCTAAATCACATTTCCCAGTAGCTTGGAAAGTTTTAAAAGTTTTACTTGCAGTTTTCAAAAAAAAATTCTGCTGGTGCTAAAACATCCTTACTCTTTGTTGTTTTATTAACTAATACTTGACGGCCTGCTTTGAACCGTCTTTTTTTCTGTCTTTTTGGATTCACGTATGTGCCAGGCAAATGCTGTCAATATGAAATTTATTTTTTTGTCTCATTTTGTTTCAGAATCCAGTGATTCACTGAAATCTTCATTCAGATCAAACAAAGGTAGCGAGAGGGCAGATCCATCTTTGCTATTTGGGGATTCCCTCCGCTTTGAACAAAGTAAAATTAATTCAGACTGGGGTCAGTCCATCAACTTTCTTGACAGTCTGAAGTCAGCAGATCGTTCTGTGGGCAGTGTACAAGGCTGTCAGGGTGGCGATAATAGTCTTGAGGAAATTCTGTTCAAGGGAGATGATCAAGGAAAAGGTTTGTGTTTACTCAGTTTACTGATATATGGTCGCTTTTAAGGACGAGCGGGCTATCCCGGATTTCAGGGCTTTCCAGGTTTCAAGGGAGCTATCCCGATAAATGCTGTTTTGAGTAAATCAAAGTTAAAGTTTTTGGACCCATATTCAGTTTCTTTCAAAGACAAGGAGAGGTTTCTCTATAACCAAACAAATATACACAGCAATGAGACCAAACTATTCCTACAAGTAGGGCAATGCCCACTTTTGGTGTAGGTCAAAATTTCTGGAAACCCCCAAAATCTGGGTTAGCCCGCTTGCCTTTATAGGCGACCATTTTAAAGCAGACAGACAAAAGTGAGCAAGCTGTGCCAGCATGGGATATTGTTTAGTGTGAGGGGTAGTACCTGTCCATTTCGTAATTCTATTAAATTCCTTGGTAAAAATCAGCCGTAAGCTGACAAAAAGCCTTTTTTTTCTCTTCACAGCAGTTTCGAGAAAAAGAAGTTTTTTTGTCAGCGTAACCATCTAAATATAGAGTGATTCCGGAATTTGAATTTTTTTCAAAAACTAGTCACAGTTTCACTTTAATTTTTTCTCTCAAGTAAGGTTACCAGTCAGACTTTCAATTTAGCAGATGAAAAATGTTGGCGCCAAAATGAAGAAAAAAAAGACATTTTGTCAGCATATGGCAGTAATGTGGTTTGTGTTCTACGAGATTATTGAAGAGAATTGAATATGAATTTTGAAGAAAAAAAGAGTTTAATACCATTAACTCTTGAATGTTCATGGCTGCACTTTCTCGGTAAAGCAACATGTTACTTTTTAATGTAAAGACCTCTGTTTTGTGGCTGGTGTGTAAACGGTTTCGTTGGTAGCTCCCACATTTTTTTCTATCCTTTTGTTGTTTCTGTATTCTTGTTGAGTCCTTTGTTATGAAAGTTTTTCTGTATTTAAAAAAATTCTTGGCATTTTATATTCCTCAACGTAGCTGATGGTCATCGGAGTGAGCCTCTCAACCCATTTAACGATTTGGAAATTCCGGAAAACTCGAATAAACGGGACCATTGTGCTACCGACAATCCTTTCGGCAGTTTTTCTGATGATATGAATGATCAGGGATTTGGAGATGAGGATTTCATGGATGCAGGTGAGCTGTGGTGTTGTTGTATGTGTGTTTATATCTTTTCTGAGAGATGAAAGGGATTTCTTGTAACTCACTTTGTAAAAGTGAGAGGTTTGTAGAGTTTTTTTGCAGCTAGATCAGTGGAAGAAAGGAGTGTAAAGAATTTTTCATTGGGGTACAACATTTCTACGCCCATGGAGCTGAAAAGGCTGAGTCCATCCTTGGTTGTTCTGTTGGAGCAATTTTGTTCTTTTGGAAAAGATATCTGACTAAATACTAGCTACCAGAGTAAGAGTCTTGTCGACTTTGAACGACTTTTTAAAATATTTTTTTTTATTTTGTAAAAAAAGAATTTTGTTGTCCTAGTGATGTCTGCATCTTGACTTAACCCTATCCGTACGTCATGTTTTACTATGGTATCCATACGACGTGGGGAACTCTGTGCCACCATTTTGCAAAGAGGAAATTTACTCGTTAGTCTGATCCGCACGCTTTGCATAGCAGTCTGTCAAAAAGATTTTTTGAGAAATACCGAAAGTTTCAAAGTAATCTCTATTATAAGTATTCTCAAATGTGAAGAATACAACCCCAGGGGTACTAATTGACCCCAGGGTGTACGGAAAGGGCTAACATATTGTCATGTATATTCCTTTCAGAGGATTGGGAGTGGTGAACTGAGAGTACATTTTGGCCAGAAAGACAACTTTTTGAGGCCCCAGGGTTGTTGTTTTGTTTTTTTTAAATTCCAACACACAAGAACAAAAATATCTCTTTGGAATCATTGAATTATTTTTTTGGAAAGGGTGTCAGACTGATCTGGTAGAGGCTTCCCTCTGCTTATCAGGTGGGTATCATTTGTAGTGATTAATTCTGCCCTATCCAAATGATATTTCTTTTTTTCCCCTCTTTTTTGAGTGTACTAATTGACCATGACTGGCCTTGTACTTCTCCTACCCCTTTACTCCTTCACAAAGAAGTCCACAATTTACTCACATGGTTTAAGGCGGCCAAGGGTGCTACCGTGAAACGGGCAACAAATCAGTGAGACATTGATGCGTTTGTTTGTTTAATGCACTCAAACAATATGTAATTGAACAAAGAATGCACTCAAACAATATGTAATTGAACAAAGAATGCACTCAAACAATATGTAATTGAACAAAGAATGCACTCAAACAATATGTAATTGAACAAAGAATGCACTCAAACAATATGTAATTGAACAAAGAATGCACTCAAACAATATGTAATTGAACAAAGAATGCTCTCAAACAATATGTAATTGAACAAAGAATGCACTCAAACAATATGTAATTGAACAAAGAATAAGTATGCTACTATGTGGTTGACAATGGGTAGTAAATGTAGTACAGGAACGGTTGTTGATCTTGGGGTTGACGAAATCGGTACCGCAATCCGCCACTTGAGTAGCAGTCTGCTAAAATGCGATACCATAAATGCCACTTTAATACTTATTTACTTTTTCCTTCCTCTGGTATCCTTAGGATGTCAAGGGGGCCACTTTAGTGACGATCCGAAATCAAAGAGTTAATGAATTGTTTTCTGTTGCAGGTGCTGCTCAGGCTATGTTAGCGGAGGATGAGCATCAGTTTAGGAAGGAGGACCTGGAGGGAGATGAGGTATGTGGATGTACACGTGTGTTGTCTGGGGGGGGGGATGTTGAGACCAGTGGATGTTAAAAGGATGTAGTGCCTGGTGGGCAATGAGGCTTGTGGTGTGTTCAGATGTGGTGTGTGAATTTAGCGCCATTAACACTTTCCACCCACATAGCGCGCAGAGCACGTAACACTTATCCCCACGGACCAGGATACAGGTGCGGTACATGCTATTTCACATGGGCGCTGATTGGCATCCCGTTGGGAAAAGGGACGGCTTCTTACCGTTGCCGATGGGCGTCCCGTGGGGGGCAAAGTGTTAATGCCTTGCAGTACTAGTTGAGCTCATAGTGTGTGGGCAAGTAATTCTTTACTCTTATTACTTGTCGTTTTGATGAGTTGAGCTGAATGCCAAACTTGTGTATTACAGTGTTTAGTAAATGTGTAATGTACAGGTTCATGCGAACATTATCATATTTCAGATGTGCTCAGAAGTTAGGGTCTTGCATACCGCCCAAGGAGACCGTCCAAATCTGAGCTTTTTTTTTGTGTGGACTGTACAGTCGTAAATTTTTTGTGTTGTGCCTATATTCTCTATTCCCTTTGTCTTATTTCGAGAAAGTTGGTTTATCGTGATTTTAAGTATTTCATTAAACATGAGCTTTGTCTCTGTAAATACTTTAGACAAAGATTTGCTTCCTGCTCTGTATTCCTTGTAGTGTACTTGCGTGCTACACTAGTTTCCATTAGGAGACCAAGTGCTTATCAGAGAGACCTGTTGAATTTTTTTATCTTGCTGTTTTAAAGATTTGCTATTATCTCACCTCGCTCCACTACTTCCTCAGCATTTACATTGATTTTCCAAAACAGGTGAGCATCTGTGGAGAAGGGGATTTTTAACCATCAAGCTATTTGATTTTGATTTTTTTTATAGGGGGGGGGGGGGTTAATGAGTTATTGACAGTGATTTGTTTTGTCATTGTTTAAATTTTCTTTTCAGTTATCCAACTTGACTATGGCCTCTGCGCGGGGTATGGATGAGACGTTTATGAACATGACCATCTCTACGTACATGGCAGCAAGGTCCGAGGAGCACGGCTCTCTCTCGGACCCTCAGAGAAGGGTAAGTGACCGCTGTCCACCTGAATTGTCTTTGATTGAAGGCAATGAAGGCAACCCACTGGGTATTGCATGTTGTCTTGTGAAAAAGAAGTTGGGCCTGCAAATGGCATTATGCCTACCTGAAGGTTTACGCTAATGCTTTAAAAAAAAAATGTGATACAACTTTGTGTGAATTTCTTCCAGTCCTGAGCACTTATTTGCCTTCAATTATTCAAGAAAGTGAATGCCAATTGGTTTGTTTTGTTGTTTTTACGGGAGGGAGGGAGGTTGTAAGTATGAAGTAGTAGAATATTTTTTGCTTACACATAAACTAGTTGTTTTTCAGTGTTTGATGTGGGTGGTTGGCGGGTGCTCTGGTGTGGTTTGCTCCTTCTTTCCTATCAAACGTCTATCGTCCTTATCTCCCTTTCTTCTTTTTTATGTTTGTTACTCTCTTGTAACACCTCTAATCTTCTGGCACTCATATGACCTTATGCAGTTGCGAGTGCTGTAAAACCTCTACTAAAACTAAAACCATGTTTGATTGCAGGCTAATCTGGGCATGCCCGTGAAGAGCCCTCCAGTGGAGAGACGAGGAGTTCCTTTATTTGTGCTGGATGAAACCCGCGAGGAACCTGGTGAGACAAATGAGCATCTTCCTCTTCTACCGTATCTTATGTGGTGCTTTGTGATGACGCTTTTTTTTATTAGGTTCAGAAGGTTGGGGTGACACTACTGATAAGCCATATTTCTTTAATTTCTCTGTGTTGTTTTCCCCCCCCCCCCCCCCCCCACTCTCACAGACACACACTCTAAATTACCTTTATCGTGTTTATTTACTTCTCTTTACCCAAACAAATTTGTTTTCCCTACAGCTGCTCCAGCCCTCACACGTCAAGAGTCTCCTGTCAGTCCCCGCACTTCTCCGTCTTCTAAAGGTAGAGACCACCACGCCCAGGATGAGATATTGCCGTTAGATTTCCCAAAAGAGGCTGACACTTCCAAGAGTGTAGATAACTCCCCGGATTCATCAATCAGTTCTGAGGGTAAGTTGGTTTTTACTCTTGCAATGGCCTTTCGATCACTTTGAATTTTGTTTTGTAGTCCGTTTTCTCTCTGCTAACTGTGTGTCATTATACCAGCCTCTGTGACAAGCTCAAATGGACCAACTGCCAATGTATTGATTTTGCACAGTGCGACCTTCATTTTGTTCCAGCCTTCACTTAGTCAGCCCTTTATTTTATTTTATATATAAGGTTTCATGAAAGTTGAACATTAGGTGGAATAAAGTCAGGAAGAGTGTGTAGGTAGTTGGCGGGTGCTCTGGTGTGGTTTTCCCCTTCTTTCCTATCAAACATCTATTGTCCTGGTCTCTCCTCCTTCTTTTTTGTGTTTGTTACTGTCTTGTAACACCTCTAATCTTCTGACGCTCATATGACCGTATGCAGTTGCGAGCGCCGTAAAATGTCTACTAAAACTAAAACTCTCTTTCTCGTCTTCACAGAGATGACATTCAGCAGTGTACACAAGCAACTAGAGAACCCAGACTTTAGCCTGTCTGACCCAATACAGGTCATCACGTCTGTCTACAACAAGTGCTTCAATGAGAAGAAACTGAAGAAGAAAGCCAGCATGAAGAGCCGTGTTCCCTCACAGCCTGGTGAGCCGTCTCTGCCATCACAGCAGTCGCAGCCTCGCCACACGCCGGAACCCCCCAGTCTGCCATCCCAGTCAGCTCACCTCTCAGAGTCTGCTCACAAGATGCAGCCAGTTCAGCCTTTGCAACATACTCAGCTGTCACAGGCTGGTCACATGTCACAGGCCAGTCAGTTGTCACAGGCTGGTCACATGTCACAGGCTGGTCACACGTCAGACGTCAGTCAGTTGTTACAAGCTCGTCATACATCAGAGACGAGTCAGTTGTTAAAGACCCGTAATGCATCAGAGGCCAATCAGTTGTCACAGGCTGGTCATACATCAGAGGCTGATCAGTTCTCGCTGGCTGGTCACATGTCACAGGCCAATCATTTGTCACAAGCTCGTCACATGTTAGAGGCCAGTCAGTTGTCAAAGACCCGTAACACACCAGAGGCCGGTCAGTTGTCACAGGCAGGTCACATGTCAGAGCCCAGTCAGCAGCCACAGTCTGAAAAACCTCCAGCACTAGCAGCGTCTGACCAGGCAGATTTCAATCAGACTGGTTTGTCCTCGGTGCCTTACATGACCCTTGTGGAACAGTCCATCACCTCTGACCCTTTGACCATGTCCCTCCTGGCTCCAGGGTCAGCATTCGCCGCCAGGACCAAGTCGCAGCGTCCAGTGCCGGGCGAAATTCCCTATTCCGCCACAGGTCCACAGTTTTCTCACCCTGCCCTGAGAGATGCCTCTCTGGTAAGACAACATACATCCGGCATCCCCAACGCAGAGAAGTTTCTGGAAACATTTGAGGAGCACGTCACGTTGAACGCGGAAAGAGAAATTGGGATAGCAGATGATGCCAGCTGCACTCTCGAGTCAGTCACAATCCCAGCTCAGTCGGGGCACTCTCTCAGCGAGTCCCTCATGCCGCCGCCGAAGACTACGCAGGTGAAGAGGTCGCAGCAGCCGGCCTGGGCAGCCAACAACGACAAGGTCGGGGCGAACCACTCCACCATGGAAGTGTTGCACCAGCTGCAGAGTGTGTCGCTGGCGGACAGCTCTGCCTTCAAGGACGACAGCGTGTCTCCCGCGTTCTACTCACTGATGCCGGATCAGACGCAGTCGTTTCTCCAGCAGTCGCACGTCCGCGACGGGTTTGCGTCCAGCACGCCGCTCGTAGGCGGGCAGTTGGAGAACCGGCCAAAGTTCAACAACACACACATGTCGGAGAAAAGTGAGCAGGTTTTTTTGTGGGTTTTTTTTGGCTGTAAAAGTATTTGTAGTATAGTATAACTGCACCGCCACAGCCACACGCGCGCACACATACACACACACACATGTCGGAGAAAAGTGAGGAGGTTTTTTAAAATTTGGTCTGTAAAAGTATAGATAGTATAGTATAACCGCACCGCCACAGCCACACACGCACACACACACACTCGCGCACACACATGCACAAAAAGAAAAGTGCGTTGAAAAGGGTAAAGGATAGTCCCCGGAGGAAGTAAAGTTTTGTTGGTAAAAGTGAAGGTATTACAAATACACACACACACACACCCCCCATTTCGAACTTGAGGGGGGGGGGGGGGGGGGGGGCGGTCTCGCATTATTCAACTTATAGCTCTACTGTTTTTTGTTGGATACTCGTATTTTGACAGTTCGTTTGTGTTTTGTCAACACCACCACTCTTCTGCTTTGAGATTTATAAAATATAAGCCAGCTGGGTTTTGGGTTTTTTCTGTTTTGACTATATGCCTCTGTGCTGATAATTTTCTGTGAATTTCCGCTTTTTATTTGTTATTATCGTAGTTAGTATCAGAGTTCTTTGTTGAAATTTCGGGATTGCAATGGGGTCGGAATATTTTCCTCTTTTTTTTATTTTTTCTCATTATCAGCACTGATACCTCTATGTTTTCTCACAGGCATTCTTCCACTCGTGACACCCAAACAGATGAGCAATCTCATCCAGCTGCCTCAGCATGTGAAAATCTCGGAAGTTTGCTGTGTGCCCCTGAGCCAGCACACCAAGTTTGTCATCACCAATCTGTTTGAAAGAGGCGTCAAGTGCACTTTGACCGTTCGGGAGGTCAGTGTCAGAGGTCAGCGAATCAACCTCAGCCATTGCCCCTTTGATGTGAGGAAGCAGGTCATTCTGGAGCCCAACTCCTCGGAGACGATTCAGGTGCTGATTTATACATTTTTTGTTCGGTGCTGATTTATACATTGTTTGTTCGGTACTGATTTATACAGTTAGTTCAGTACTGATTTATACACAGTTCAGTGCTGATTTATACACTGTTTGTACAATGCTGATTTATACACAGTTCAGTGCTGATTTATACACTGTGCAATGCTGATTTATACATTGTTTGTTCGGTGCTGATTTATACACTGTTCGTTCGAGGTGTTGGTTTCTCTGTTCCTGATGAAATTCTTTGATTTTTATTGTATTTTGACAGAAGACTGTTTTATTTTGTTAGAAAATTTTTAGGTCTGTTATTAACTTTTAGTGTTACACACTGTCTCTATTTATGATGTAATGTATAATAGACCTCTTCTTATTTTCTCTAATAATTCTCTGATTTTTTTCTTTGACAGGTGCTTTTCCGACCCAAGGACCATGGAGAGTTTGTGGCCAGCGTGGAGGTTTTGGCTCAGAGCATGACCAGTGCGGTTGCCAGAACGTATATGTTCTTCCTTTCTGGGGAAGCAGAATTCCCCTGCCTTAAGGTACATTTTTCTCAATAAAAGTAAGATAAGATAAGATAGTACTTTATTATCCCTACTTTATTATCCCAGAGGGAAATTTTCCTTGACTGTACAGGACCGTAAAAACACATGCAGGTATACATAAAAAATTTAAATACTCTCATTAAAATTCAATATGAAAGGAGAAGTAAAGCTGACAAAATGTACATTTACATCAAATGCATCATTCAACTACATGCAGGAATTTAAATACTAGACCTTTGGAGTTATATACAGCTACATACTCTTAAGAGCAACACACATTTATGCTCATTCTGACAAAAGCCTTATGCTAGATGGTAAAAAACTTATTTTATATCTTTCTTTCTTTGTTTTTGGAGGTACATATCTGCCGCTGCGTGATCTGACAATTTGTGCATAAAAGTATATATCCACCACTTTGCTACCTCAGAATTACAAAGTTCTGTCTGACACTTTTTGCCGTTTTGAGTTACTGACCACGAGATAAAAAACCAAATGTTCTTTCTGCTCTATCAAAATAGCAAGATTATTTGGAGTCGCTATCAAGATATTTGAAGAATTGCATTTGAAAAGGCTTGAACATATTGGGAAATTAAAAATCTTTGAGGTCAAATTTCTGAAAACTAGGTACTGAGCAGAACGGTCGTGGTAATTCTGAGGTAGCAACTTGCCTAATGAAACACACAGAGAGAGAACCCCCCGGGGCAGTGCCACTGACTGTAGTGTCTTTAGGCCCTTCCCAAAGGGGGGACATTTCTCGTTCAAGCATAGTAGAATTGTAAATGGGCTGCCTCATGTCACGCTCATAACTGTGCCTGATCTACAACAGGGAACTGCTGCTTTTTCTTTCCTGATCCTTACTATTGTCATTTCCTCTACTTCTTTTGTATGTTTGTCCCTCTCTTGTGACCTGCTATTTTGGGGTGCTTTGATAGTCGAAGTAGGCCTTGTGCTGTTGAAGCTAGAGGCGTGAGCAGTCTAAGTCTGATTCCCTGTAAAGACTTCTCTGTTGACACCCACCCCTTGGCGCTCATATGACCTTGTTATGCAGTTGCGAGCGCCGTTAAACCCTCTACTATGAAAAAAATATATAAAGAGAGAGAGAGAGAGAGGGTTGTTCCAGCATGTGAGACATGTATATTTTACTAATATCCTGTCTTGTTGTCCGTATGTGTGAGTGCACCTAACCTTTATAAGGTCTACTGCCATTGTTAACGACCAAGACAAATTTCTCCCTGCGAGATGAATAAAGAATAATAAAGATTGTCATAGTGAATCAATGCTGTCACAGCCTGCCGATTCCTTTTCCAGTAAGTAATAGCAGCGGCCCTTGATCTGTGCACTAGCTCAATCAAGCACATTCAATATGGAGAGTGGCGCCAACTTTGCTTTTACCCATTTATCTTGGCTCTGATTGTGGACTTGCCTGTGAAATAGAGTCACAAGTTTTCACATGAAAGAGGAATTTATTTATATATGACTTCATATGCAATCATTTACACAGTATAGTATATGCATGACTCGTTGCAACATTCTTCTTTTGAGGTCGATTTCATTGACTTTAAATTGTATCTTAGTTAATGAACCCCCAGTACCCAGTACAGAGCATTACAAGTGTTCTCAGGAAAGATATCAGAACTCAGTCTTGTTGCAAAGTCAAAGTGACAGACTCTAGCAAGCTCTTAGGTGGACCAGGTTTTATGGGTAGCATGTTTTAAGGCGTAGACACTTTCTGCTTCATTGTACATATTTGAGCTTAACCAGTTTATTTTTCTTGTGCTTGTCTATTTTTGCAAAGTAGTAAAATCCCACACTCATGTTTGTGGGTGGTTGGCGGGTGCTCTGGTGTGGTTTGCTCCTTGTTTCCTATCAAACATCTATCGTCCTTATATCCGCTTCGTTTTTATGTTTGTTACTCTCTTGTAACACTTCTAATCTTCTGGCGCTCATATGACCTTATGCAGTTGCCCGGGCCGTAAAACCTCTACTAAAACTAAACACTCATGGGTTTTTTTTTACCACCAGATTTCCCCGAAAAATGAGGAGCTGGACTTTGGTTGTCTGTTGTGGGGTAGTTCTGAATGTCGCTCTCTGAGGATCCAGAATGTTGGGAGAGCCACAGTTCCTCTGCGCTGCTCCATCTTTCGAGTGAGTGTTAGAAGATACCAAGATGTGGAATGCTTTATCAAGTACTTTAAGAGAGATCAAATCTTTTGATTCATTAGAATGTCAGCTGAAGCCGTTTCTGTTTTTAAATTAATAAGATGAATATTTGGAATAATTTTCTATTAGGACGCAACGTTTTATGTTCCTGTTGTACGATGAACTGTATTGTAAAGTGCTCAGAGCCTGTGTACTTTAATCGTGGTTGACCGCTGTATGTCATTTATTATTATTATTAGAAAGCTTAGAACTTTTTAGTTGACTTTGTTAGGAAAGAATAGCAACGCCCGATAGAAAATTCCATGTTTTCCTTTTTAACCATGTGCATTTATTGAGTTATATAAATGTTCACTGTTTTTACTCAATTTTCTGAGAATTCACTTTGTAAAATATCACTCAGTACATTGTATACAGATAAGAAAAATCTTTCAGTTTTTCCAGATTTGTATCATCAGAAGAAATTCTGTATGTGATGGCCGTTCTGTTTTATTTATTTCTTGTCTTTCTTTTCTAGACGGAGTCCTCTCTTTGCAACTTTTCGTTCACCGCGGAACATCCGTCTGACGTGTCCAGCATATCTCTGACCACGCGGCCGCCCTCTGCCGGGGGTCCGTACTCCATGTCTTTGCCTGGCCGGCAGGAGGGGGAAGAAGTGACCACTGTCTCAGTGGACGTCTGCTGTCGTGTCGCCGACGTTCAGAATGTCAACCACAGTAAGTGATGATTTTTTATGTAGTTTAGCTTACTGTTTGTCATCTTTGCAGCACTTTGGGCAGACTCTTTCTGCATCCTTTCTACTGCAACTCCTTAGCTCGTTCTTACTGCTGTCTTTCAGCCGCACCCCTGATCTTCTTTCCTATCAAACGTCTATCGCCTTTATCTCTCCTCTTTCTTTTTTGTGTTTGTTACTCTCTTGTGACAACTCTAATCTTCAGCACTTATATTACCTTATTGTGCTGCGAGTGCCGTAAAATTCTTACAAAAACTAAATTCCTGAGGACAGTGCCTCTGATAGGTAACTTAACACTACCTCTTTTGTTTCTGTTTATTTTCCTTTCCTTTTCCAGGCACTAAATGGGCGTTTGTTTGTGTCAATGTGCTTCTCTTCACTCAAAACACTGTCTTTGCACAGGGTACCTTGAAGTAGCGGAGAAGTTTCAAGCAGTGCTGTCCTTGGGTGTGGACATGCCCATCGAGGAGATCTCGCCGCTGTCCAACGTGAAGCTGAGGGTGACTGTTGGCATGTACAAGCTGCACGTGAACAAAGACGTAAGATGTTCACTCTGTGGTCTATACCAGTGAACTGAAACAAATCATGTTTTCATTCATAAATGACATACATCGTTTTTTCTTATCAATGCACTTTCTTTGTCGTTGTTCTAATTTGTAATGTAGTTGTCTGGTCGGTATGATGAGTTTATATTCATAAGATAAGATAAGATAAGATAATACTTTATTATCCCAGATGGAAATTTTTCTTGGCTGTACAGGACCGTAAAAACACATGCAGGTATACATAAAAAATCTAAATTATATATTACTCTCATTAAAATTCAACATGAAAAGAGAAGTAAAGCAGACAAAATGTACATATTACATCAGAGGCAGCATTCAATCACTTGAAAGATTTTGATTACAAGACCTGTGGAGTTATATAGTCGTAGATACATACTCATAATATGCCCGTGGAAAGCTAGGCGATCATTATCCATAGATGAAAAATAATTTCAATTCCCAGCAGAGTAGGATGTTGTACCTATGGGGACAATACAGTCAAACCTGCTGTGACGGCCACCTCTATAAGACGGCCACCTGTACAAACAGCCACTTTCCATTTCCCCCATTGTGTTTTTTCTATATAATTTAACTGTATAAAACGGGCATCTGTCCAACGCGGCCACGGCCACCATATTTTAACACACAACCCCTATCACACTAAGCAATAACACCTGTCTTAGACGGCCACCTTAGTGACTCCATTACGTTTTGTCATAAATTGTGATTTGGCCCCTGGCGTTGTAGGCGAGCCGTCATAATTCAATCACCTGTCGTTTTTGTTAGGTAGTCCCTCCAACCGATCACAGTTGCGTAGGCCCCTCTCATTGTTGACCAATAGCTACCAATTTTCAGCTGCTGGTGAGGTAAGCGTGTGATCCCTCAAAACCCATAAACCCCACCCAGAACTCATACACAAATCGTAAGTGAGATGAGTGGTCACTGTTTACCCAGTCTGTAACAAAGTAACAATAGGACGTCAACATGAACTTGTGACAGAAGCTTCGCTCGTTCTCCGAGTGGTGGCGACCCATGTGTTTGTTTTAACATTGCACTCGGTCTTCCTCGTCTGATACATTTCGTTTTATTGTCACCCTTGTGCAAATTCAGCAACAAAATAAAAATAACAAACAAAATACAAACCACCACCACCAACAACAAAAACAGCAACAATGGGGCTACTTTCGATTGGGACCTCAATTGGGAGTGGGTCATTTTCTTCATCTTGATCAGTCCTGCCTAAGACGGCCACCTGTCTTATACGGACACTTTTCTCCTTGACAATGGGTGGCCGTCTTACACAGGTTTGACTGTACTTTTCCCTACCCTCAGTTCTCCCAGCTAAACTCAACGTATTTCATTTCTCTATGGAAAACAATTTTTTTAGCTTGCCTCTGTGTTTTAGATTCTAACATATTGCTGACACACAAAAAAAAGTGTGTTATTCTGTTATCTTACCTTTACTGAGTCAGTAATACAAAAATTGAAGCTTCCCATTAAAATCTTTTTTTTTCTCGACAGTGTGCTTCCTATGAATCTCCCATTTGTTTTGTGCCAATATTTAAAATGGGCTCTGCTTTCTCCTTCTCTGTGGATGGTTGGCGGGTGCTCTAGTGTGGTTTGCTTCTTCTCTCCTATCAAGCGTCTATCGTCATTATCTCTCCTCCCTCTTTTTTGTGTTTGTTACTCCCTTGTAACACCTCTAATCTTCGTCACTTATGTGACCTTATTGTGTTGCAAGTGCCGTAAAACACTAAAACTAAAAACCTATCCTTCTCCACACCCCCCCTCCCCCAAACTGCCTAGTGTCTGTCCATTTCCTGCCCACCTGGCAAGTCTGGTCAGGGCTCGGTGGAGGTGATCAACTCTGGCAACATTCCGATGGCGGTGGAGGCCTTCCTGGAGCCGGCGCGGGAACACTTCCGCCTGAGTCAGCACCAACTGGAGGTTCCCCCTGGTCACTCGGTGCCGCTACGTGTCACCTTCACCCCTCAGCCCACACGCGAGGATATTAGTGATAACAGAGTGTATGTCATTCGTGTTTTTTTTGTATTTGAAGACTACAGGGGGGAAAACGACAAAAGTCACAAACTGAAAATGGAGAGGGTACCAATTTTGAACGCTTGTTGACTCATAACTGTATTTCTGATCAACTGTTGGTTGATTATTGTTGTTAGATTTCCCATTCAACAACACTTAACAATAAATCACCTGTCAAACAAACTTGAAGTTATGAGTCCATAAGCTTTTAAAATTGGCACCTTCACAATTTCCAGTTTGTGACTACAGTCGTTTTTTCCCCTGTGTTCTTCATTTGCTTTTCTTGTTTGATTGTTCTCTCAAGATTTCAGTAGTGTACTTCAGTTGTTTAGGGGAGTTTTCAAGGCTCTCCACCCACTTGGCGCTGTTGTATAGGAGATATACACATGTTAAATTTGGAGATCTTACCTTTGCAAGAGGTGTTTAAAACATTCCAATTACAATAGTTGCTTTCTTCTCGGTTGGTAGTGTCTGAATATGTTTTGACACTGGACATTGGCACGTATGCAGTTTAATAAGACATGAGGTTAACGCAGTGTGAATAATAGGAATGGGGACATCTATGAATAAAAGATTTAAGACACCAATATTCAGTCTTTAATTTGTAAGCCTGTTGAAATGATGTAAATAAAATATATACTGCAGTAAAAATTTGAACCTGCTCTAACGGCCACCTGTCCCAGACCATCACATGCACAGACTACTTCCTACGTCCACCCTTGCATCTTTGGAGGGGGTAGTAATAAATTGTAATGCCCATAGAGCTTTCTTGTACATATGCCGTATGTGGGTGGCTGGCGGGTGCTCTGGTGTGGTTTGCTCCTTCTTTCCTATCAAACATCTATCGTCCTGATCTCTCCTTTTTTCTTAGTTACCCTCTTGTAACACCTCTAATCTTCGGCACTTCTGTGACCTTATTGTGTTGCAATTGCCGTAAAACTCTTACTAAAACTTTAAAACATATGCCATATAAATCTATTATTGGTATCGTTATTGATATTATTATTGAACAGTATTTCTCCCCATTTGTCTGTTCCAGTAACTTGGTCTTACGCAACCAACTGCGGGATCATTCGGTGTCTGTCACAGGCAAGGTCAAGATGACCCAGACCAAGATCAGCGGCTCATCTTGTGCTCTCCAGTTTGGTGGTGTGGAGCCAGGGCAGAGAAGGTGAGTGGGTGGTTGGCGGGTGCTGTGGTGTGGTTTGCTTCTTCTTTCCTATCAAACATCTATCGTCCTTATCTCCCCTTCTTCTTTTTTATGTTTGTTACTCTCTTGTAACACCTCTAATCTTCTGGCGTTCATATGACCTTATTGTGTTGCAAGTGTCATAAACGCACTTACTATAACAAGAGAAGGTGAGCACATGATTATCATTGCGGGTGCTGTAAGCCCGTATCAACACGTTTAAGGTCATTTAGCAGGTAGACTGCTTGAACCGTGCCTTTCCCAGCAGACAGAAAGTGCCAAATCTGAAACGGACAGCAGCATTCCTGGTTCTCCATTCATTTCTCCCCTCGGATACTCTAAAAAATCCTATGCTATCCACCCTGGTGTTTGCTCGTCACTCATCTGTTCAGGTTTTCCGTATGAGTTTCTCTGGGTCTGCTCCTACCTCATGTGCCTTCTATTTTTCCAGTGAAAGCAAGATGTTCAAAGCCTTTACACTGCTTCTTTAAGTGCTCTTATTAGTGATTTTCTTTCTGTCCTTGAAATTCTCAAAAGTCTCTGAAGAAACCCCATTTCTGTTTCTATTTGATTTTCACTATCTTTGGTAATAGTCCCGCATCCTCAGCAAAATAGATGGGTTAACCACACTCACCCTATTAGAACCCTTATTTTAGTAGTCATTGAGATGTTTCTATTTTTCAAGATTGGACTCATTTTATGGAAGCTGTCTTAAGCTATTGCAATTTTTTTAATGTATTTCCATGGAAAAATTGGCATTGGATGTTGTGATATATCCGAGATATTTACAGTGTTGAACTTGTTTGATCTTTTCCCTTTTGCTTATGAGATTACAACTAGGGCTAACTGCATTTTGTTTTCTTCACTCTCAACAATAACCTTTTACTTTCACTTTTGTTTGTGTATGTGCAGCAGTAGTTGGTTGGAGGGATTTTTAGAAAGTTCTCCTATTTTTGGTCATCATGATGGTTGTCAAGTCTGTTTTTTGGCTGTGCTTCCTTTGATGATTCTACTTACTCATAAGACTTTTATAGGTGTGGCTGTAATCAAAGAACCTTGAGTGGGTGCTCTGGTGTGGTTTGCTTCTTCTTTCCTATCAAACATCTGTCATTTAATCTCCTCTCCTTCATTTTTGTGTTTGTTACTCTCTTGTAACACTTCTAATCTTCGGCACTTAAATGACCTTATTGTGTTGCAAGTGCCGTGAAACACTTACTAAAAAAAAATAACTTTGCAAAAGTGGGTTTGTTATATAAAGAGTTTTTTTCACCATTTTAAGAATAGACTGAATTTATACTTCACAAGTTCTGTTTACTGTCATGGAAGCTTGTTTCCTGTTTGTTGAATAAATGTGAGTAAGGAAATGTTTTTCATCTTCCAGCAAACAAAAGTTCTCATTTTTTGCCGACAATGCTGCTGACGTCAAAGTATGGATTCGAAGCAAAGGCCAAGCTTCAGCTTATCAGGTAAAGGCAATGTGTGCTTTGTTTTGTGTTGGAGCTATTTGGCCTCAGTAGTTTTCTGTGGTTAAAAACCCTTTATGTGGGTGGTTGGTGGGTGCTCTGGTGTGGTTTGCGGTCTCTTTCCTGTCAAACATCTATCGTCCGCATTTCCCCATCTTCTTTTTTTGTGTTTGTTACTCTCTTGTAACACCTCTAATCTTCTGGCGCTCATATGACCTTATGCAGTTGCGAGCGCCGTAAAACCTCTACTAAAACAAAACCAAAAAACCACGTTATATTTATTCAACTGGTCTCATGGATGGCCGGCCTATGTCCACTTGTTAAACTTTGACCTCTGCTTTGCTCCAAGATGACATAGCTCCCCTCTTTTGTGTCTGGATGGGCACTGTGTAGTCTGGTCTTGTCTTTTTACTTTGTCACACCACTTTTATCCTGTTTATTTGTAAGTTGCAAGTAGTCAAACTAGTAATTGTAGGTGTATCCAGCAGTTATTTGTAAGTTCCACGTTGTCAAGCAGATGTTGATAATAAGTTTGTCAGGCAGGGTGGGCTCCAGTGTACGTGTCTTTGTCTTCCAGATTCTGCAGGACGACGGCCGCGCGGTGGACAGTTTGGACTTGTCTGTGAGGAAGGGGGACACCAACATCCTCTGGCTCCAGTTCTCGCCGGACCAAGTCCAGGGCTATCAGGCTGACCTCATGATTCAAGTTCTCTATGCTAACAGATTTGTGGTACGGTTTTCCTGGTTTTTCTTTGTGTGTGTTTTGCCCATCAAAGGAAATTGTTTGTCCCTCCCAGCCTGACTCGGCCCAGTGACAGAAATATGCAATGTTTGACCCATGATAAGGGATATGTGCACAACCTGTATTTATTCATTATGGAAACTTTATTTATCAAATGAGTGTTTTATGTGATGTGATGTAGGCCAATGGCCGTAAACACTGAATTAACTTACTGTGTTTTGAGCCCTTTTTCCTTCAAGTTTACAGATACAGGTAGTGTGGGACTATTATGATAAGACAACATTCATATTTCATGGTCTACATCAAGAGTGAGATGTGTTTTAAATGCTAGGTTTTTAAAAAAACTTTTTTACTCTTCATTTACATAAAATATATCAACAGACCTCCTGTTTTGCTAGGTACTTTGAACTCCATATTGTATTAAATTCTTAATTTTAAGAGGTATCATTTTTTTCCCATCCTCATCTTCCATTCTCCCGTTGCAGTTTTATCACCCCCCTCACTGTTTCTACTTCACAGGTTCCTTGACTCGCACTACGCTCACCCAGTCTTGTCCCACTTCTCACCTCCCACATGCACACACACAACTGTATCTACCTTCATTGTAGTATTCATTGGGCTGTTTGAAAGAAAACCAGAGTTTGTACATCTGTGTCAAGTCGGCTTTTTAAAAATTCATTTTTAAGTGAAAATGTCCTTATATTTTTATCTTAGTTTGGTATCAACATCTCTTTATTCAACAAAAATACAAACATTGGTGGGTGGTTGGCGGGTGCTCTAGTGTGGTTTTGCTCCTTCTTTCCTATCAAACATCTATCGTCCTTGTCTCCCTTCTTCTTTTTTATGTTTGTTACTCTCTTGTAACACCTCTAATCTTCTAGCCCTCATATGACCTTATGCAGTTGCGAGCTCCGTAACAACCTCTACTAAAACTTTTAAAAAACATTGAGATATAACTATCGGAACTGAACAAGACTGCACTGTGAAAATTGTCAGTGTGTCAGTGGACATCTGTTTTCAACTCAAAACTTCCACCTGTATCCACGACTGCACAAATTTCTCGTACGCCGTTCACCACTTACTGTTCCCACCACCAGAGCTTCATAGACCATGACTTATTATTGCTCTTTTGGTGTGGATGTTGGATGCTTTTGGCGTTCTTTGCTTGCTTTCTGGTGAAATGCAACAGTTGAACTGTCGTCACTTTGGCACATTGAAGACAGGAGTTTATTTCCAGTGCCGCTCTTTTGTCTTTTGAGAGTGCCACCCTCCGAGTCATCCTATCATCGTTGTATAAAAATCAACCTTGTTTCAGATAATCCTACTCCATTCTCTCCTCTCCGCACATGCACACACACACATGCACACACACTCACACACACTCCCCCGGCCCCGATCCTGCCTGTCTTGTGCCACGATCTTTACTACAGATATTCCCACTCACCTCTCCCGCTTTCCATCTGCAGGTTCCCTTCTCCGGTTTTTCTCAAATAATCCTCTACTCCATGCACTCCACTCTGCACACTCACACACACACACTCACACACACACACTCACACACACACACTCACACACACACACACACACACACACACACTCTCACACACACACACACCCCTGAATCCTGCCCGTCTTGTGCCGCGATCTTTACTACAGATATTCTCCTTCACCTCTCCCCCTTTCTACCTGTGAGGTGTTGACCAGAATCAGGCTGTGCAGTTTACTGTTGCAAATAGAACCAACCTTTTTTCGCGCGCTCATTTGACCTTATGCATTTGCGAGGGCTGTAAAACTCTTACTAAAACAAAACATTTCTACCTGCAGATTCCCATCTCGGGTTACGGAGGCAAAAGTGCCGTCGAGTTGTCCAAGATCAGCCGCATGGAAGCATCGGGGGAGAAGTGGCTGGACTTTGGTCACCTGACTGCAGGCACTTCACTGGTGCAGAAAATGTGCATCAGCAACACTGGTGACCGATGCTGTTATCTCAAGGCTGTGTTCAATGGTTAGTGTGTACTTTGTCAGGCTCCATGACCATCCATGACACATTCTTCTGACAGTCCTGAATTTGTTTTGTCTTTGTAAGGTTTCAGCATTGTGGAGTGTTAAGAAATTGATATTTTATCGGAAGATTCTTAACCAAATGTTGAATTCCCTCCTTTCTTTAGTTATATAATCATAAAGGTTTCATTCATCTTATCTCTGTGGCTGGATGATTGGCGAATGCTCTGGTGCGGTTTCCTCCTTCTTTACCATCAAACATGTATCATCCCTATCTCTCCTATTTTTTATTCTTGTATATCTAGTAACACCTGTAGTCTTCAACTCTTTATATGACCTAATTTTGTTGAAACTGTAAGTCTCCTTCTAAAACTGTCTCTTTGATCCTTGAGAACAAGTGGCAGGCTAGAGGGTGCCACTGGTAGGGGTTTGGTTACTTTATTACTTTTTGTCTGTTCGTTCTGTTTGTTTGCCTTGCTCATTCCGAGTACTAAATAACGATTACCATGTTAATGAGCTCCTCTTTTCTCAAATACTTTACCTCTGGAACATTTGCGTCACAACCTGGTGGAATCAGGCACTGGTCATTATTTAGCCTATTGAGGTATTGGTATAATAGTTTGTTCATTTGTCTTGCTTTTGATGAAAAAAAATTACCCATCTATCATGAATAGAAGTCGAGATATTTGTAATTGAATGAGATGGGTTGCCTAATGTCAGAGATAAAATAACCATGAAAGCTTGGGGACTTCATAGCTTGAGTGTCCTTGGAAACTGCAAATTCACATTATTTTTCCTTTGATCAATGTTTTTCAGTAAAATCCACACAGTAACGTGTTTTCAGTGTTCGTCTCTGGGTACCTAGTAAAGTGTTGCAACCCTATGTTTCAGAGACCAATTTAGATCTGAAAGTAGATTCACTGACGTGCTGTTTTCTGGTGAATTAAACCTTTCCATTATTTGTTTGTACGTCTGGCAGATGTTGGTGGTCTGGAACTTCCCCCGCACAGAGCCACGGTGATGCCTTCTGCCTTGGTCTTGCCTCCAGGAGAGTCTGTGGTATGTGTGTGATTTAGTGCTGTAGAATGGCAGTGTATGCTTCTCAGGAAGTTGAGATTGTTTTGGAAGGCTATCAAGTCTGCTGGCATAATAATAGAAATTGTTAAGCACATATAAGGAGGGGCTCTCGTGGCCTAGAGGTTAAGGTGTTAGCCTCTCATTCAAAGGACCCGAGTTCAAATCCGGGTAGCGACCGAAAAAATTTTCCTCTAAAATTGTCTCCTTTCACTTCCTTTTGTGCTCTCTAGCAATGTTCTGTTGTCTGCTTTCGTCTCCTCTTTCTGCCCCCACCCCCTCACCTCCTTTGCCCCCTCCTCTGGGCTCCTGACTCTTTCTGCAACCTTTCTACTGCTACTCCTTGGCTCCTTCTTGCCGCTGTTATTCCGCCACAGCCCTGATCTTCTGCTAGGAAAGAACAAAACATCTAGCCTTCTCGGACAAGGTCGAAAAATCCTAGAGGGCCCGTGTGCAAGTTGCGCAAGTTAAAGATCCCTTGATGGTCCAAAATCGATAAGAGTAGGCTTCGGCCGGCACTCGGGCAAAATTCTAAATTTCCTACCAACTGAAAAAGTTTAATGTGTCCAATGCGCTCATATAGCCTTATGCAGTTGTGAGTGCCTTAGAACACTTACCACAAAAAAAAAGCACTTATAGCTTAATGTTGAGAGGGAATTTGGGCAATGCAAATGCTATTTATTATTTATTTATTGTTACGTTTGGGTTTGGGGTTTTTTTTGTTTTGTTATTTATGTTTTACAGCTACTGTTTCTTCACTATGTGGCACTCAGTGTCCAGAGGGCTCATTAGTGAACAGAGAAATAAATGACAGGACAAAATTGGCCAGAAGTAATTTATTCATTTTCTTCTGAACAGCCACATGGATAAATGTTAACCTGTGAAGTAGAGATCAGCTTCGCTGCATTCTTGTATTTACTTGACATGTGTTTTAATACAGTTTCGTATTAGATCTTCCTACCAAGTCGGTTCTTGTGGCTTAGTTACACCTGAAGACACAGCCCATCACCAATGAGCCAAATGCTTTATTTACAGAAAATGTGGTTTCTGTAGTTTGTGGGGCGTGAGAATGTGGTCTGCCCTGATCTGATCCACTTAACACTATCCGTACGCCCTGGGGTCATTTTGTACCCCCGGGGTTGTATTCTTCACATTTTAGAATACTTTTAGTACGAAGATCTCTTTGAAACTTTCAGTATTTCTCAAAAAATCATTTTGACAGACTGCTATGCAAAGCATACGGATCCGATTAACTAGTAAATTTCCTCTTTGGAAAGTGGTGGCACGGAGTTCCCTAAATCGTATGAATATAATAGTAACACACGACATATAGATAGAGTTAAAAATTTATTTTGAAAGTGTCTGTTTACACTGAGAATGAAAATGTCTATCCTGCATATTGCTCCTCCTTTTTTGTGTTTGCTACTCTCTTATAACATGTCTAATCTTAGGCACTTATTTGACGTAATTGTAAAAGAAACAAAAATGTTTTCTGGGACTGAGAAGCAAAATTTTTATCAGCGGTCTTTGCTGTCTTGTTGTCAAGGTGTTTCACCGCTTCTGGGAGAAGATGCTGTTAAAACTGTGTTTGACTAAATAGGTGTTTTTTTTTCTTTTTCTGATCCAATGTAGATTCTTTTTATTGGGTTATCTCCGTATGCATCAACACTGCTGGTACTTCAGTGGGTGGTTGGCGGGTGCTCTGCTGTGGTTTGCTTCTTCTTTCCTATCAAACATCTAGCATCCTTATCTCCCCTTCTTCTTTTTTATGTTTGTTACTGTCTTGTAACCCCTCTAATCTTCTGGCCCTCTTATTACCTTTTGCAGTTGCGAGCGCCGTAAAACCTCTACTAAAACTAGCTGGCACTTCTGTCATCATGTTAACTTTTTTTTTTCTTAGAGGTGCCAGTCGGTGGGTGATCTTTGGACTGCATATGAAACACGGTTGTTTTGAGACCAAATTAGCCACAACTGGCTTCATAGTCTATTCATACTTAATGCTTCTCCCTCTCATGTCGACTTTCTACACATTGACAGGACGGGAAATCACACTCCCGCAAGGTTGTTTTGTTTTTTTCTCGAGCAAACCTTTGTAACCTTTATGCATGGTTATTAATTCTTGAGAAAACAGGCTTAATGCCTTTAATATGGGAATGAAGTGTAAAGTTGGGTTAATGATTCATCAATGTCACGCTCATAACTGTGCCTGAAATTCAACAGGGAACTACTGCTTTTTCTTTCCAAACCCTTGCTATCGTCATTTTCCTCTACTTCTTTTGTATGTTTGTCACACTCCTCTGACCAACTATTTCCGGGGTGCCTTGACAGTCGAAGCAGACTTTGTGCTGTTGAAGCAAGAGAGGTGAGCAGAGCAAGTCTGATTCCCTGTAAGGACTTCTCTGTTGATATCCACCCCTTGGTGCTCATATGACCTTATGCTGTTGCGAGCACAGAAGACCTCTACTAAAACAAAGTTGGGCTAAGACTGGTGAAAAGTTTACGGATTCAGTTGAGATTCAGTTCAGTACAGCAAGTTGACAGGATTTAGGTAATTATCACATGGCGGGATGTTGTCGTGTGTGGATGGGACATTACCCCCAGGGCAGTGCCACTGACTGAAGTATTTTTAGGCCATTCCCAAATTGGGGACATTTCTCGTTCTTATGCACAATAGAATTGTGAATGGGCTGATTCAACAATGTCATGCTCATAACTATGCCTGAACTACAACAGGGAACTGCTGCTTTTTCTTTCCTCATCCTTACTATCCTCATTTTCCTTATACTTCTTTGGTATGTTTGCCACTCTCTTGTGACCCACTATCTCCAGGGTGCCTTGATAGTCGAGGCAGACTTTGTGCTTTTGAAGCTAGAGAGGTGAGCAGAGTAAGCCCGATTCCCTGTAAGGACTTCTCTGTTGACATCCACCCCTTGGCGCTCTTATGACCTTATGTAGGTGCGAGTGCCGTAAAACCTCTACTAAAACATGATGGGACATTTGTACACCTTTGTTGGTCATCTGTTCTCAGGAGCTGCTTGTGATGTTGAACCCTGGACAGAAAGAGATGGCCCTGTGTCAGTCTGGCCGGGCACTCATCGCACTGGTCAAGTTGACCTACGGAGATGAGATATCACGACAGTTCCTGATCAGGTGAGCGTCGGATAAAGAATTTGTTGCAAATGCCATTTTTCCAGAAATGTTCCACAATTGGTGAGGAGCGCCAGGGAGAGATCCTGTTGTTTTTTTTTTCTTTCCTTCTTTCTTTTCTGTCTGTAATGTCTTAATCTTTCTCAGCAGTTAAAGGCTGTTATTGTGTCAGTGTGCTTCTCCTTACTCGGACAAAACAAACGTGTTCTTAATTTGGGTTTTTCCCGGTTGAGTCCAAAGTTGATCAGGATGTCGAAACTCAAAGCTAGAACTTAAGTGTGGTCGAAGTATTTATCGTCTCAGAATCATGTTTCTCTGTCTTTATTTTTATTTTCCTACACGAATTCTAGTTGTATATGTTGTATGTCACTATTGACACAGTTTAGACACTAGATTGTAGTGAATTGTCCCAGCTTTCCTTTTTGCTCCACCGAGTTTGTTTTACTTTGTACTAACCACAGATTTAACAAGCAGAATTCTGTTGTAAAAGTGACTGTGTGTGCAAGAACAGAAACTGTGTAGTTGGGCTGAACTTTTGATATGTGGTGAAAAGCACACCTTTTTTTTTTTTTTTTGAGAAAGTGGGTGGTTGGCGGGTGGTTTGGTGTGGTTTGCTTCTTCTTTCCTATCAAACATCTATTGTCCTTATCTCCCCTTCTTCTTTTTTGTTTGTTACTCTCTTGTAACACCTCTAATCTGCTGGCACTCATATAACCTTATGCAGTTGCGAACGCCGTAAAACCTCTACTACTAAAACTTATTTGAGAATAACACGAAGTAAGGAAGAGAGAAGAGAATGACAGTTCTCGTACTGGATAAGAGATTGCAGCGAAGAATGTAGACAATCTTTTAGGTGGACATTCTTAGGAAAAATTTCCTCACTACTCTGCATTCTTGAGATAAATGAAAGGCCTGGGTTATTCTTTTTTTGTGTGGGATCATCATCATTGATATGTCATATCGTCAATGTCGTTCTCCAATTGACAATAATTTTTTTTTAATTATTGGGGGGGGGGGGGGATATCAAAACAAAGAAGTTATTCAAAGCTATCATGCAGCATCCTCCTACAGAGTTCTGTTATTTCCTGTCTCAATTCTTACTGAAAAATAATTAGTACCGAAGTCGTGGTTCTGATTTGGGCGGCTTGTTTGTAATTTTTCTCTAAACTTACATGAATGACTTGGCACTAGTGGAATTTAGCTGACTTTTCTCATATCGTGTAAATTGCATCTTTAGAGTCATTAAACCTACCCGTACACCCTGGGGTCATTTTGTACCCTCAGGGTTGTATTCTCCTCATTTTAGCATACTTCTAGTATGAAGGTCTCTTTTGAAACTTTCAGTATTTCTCAAATAATCATTTTGACAGACTGCTATGCAAAGCGTACAGATCGGATTAACGAGTAAATTTCCTCTTTGAAAGTCGCGGCACAGAGTTCCCCACGTCATATGGATACGATAGTAAAACACGACCTATGGATAGGGTTAACCAAATATTGCATCTACTCATGTGTATCATGATTTGAAATCATGTCTGCACTGAAGACTTAAGTGCGTGGGTGGTTGACGGGTGCTCTGGTGTGGTTTGCTCCTTCTTTCCTATCAAACATCTATCGTCCTCAACTCCTCTTCTTCTTTTTTATGTTTGTACTCTCTTGTAACACCTTTAATCTTCTGGCGCTCATATGACCTTATGCAGTTGCGAGTGCAGTAAAACCTCTACTAAAAAAAAAACCCACTTTGCCGCCACAAGGGGTTCATATAGATCTAGTAAAAACTTTTGCCTTCAAAGGCATTTTGGGGGAAATCCAAGGAAACTGGGTGGTAAACATCGCCGGTCTGCGAGATGAGGCGGCAAAGTGTTAAATACTGTGCCTGGTTGTTTTGTTCATAACTAAATCACAGCACACCTATTTCAGGAACTTTGGGAAACAGAGACATCACGTGGTCAACAAATTTGACGTCCCCCTGACAGCAGCTCAGCAGCAAATGATGGAGGCTGAGAGTAAGTTTGAGCTCCCGGCATAAACGCTTCCGAAAAGTTTTGCCAGCAGTGTGTGTGTGTGGATAATGCTGTATATTTTATTTCTCTCTCTCCGACTCCTGTCTTTGTCTCTCTGTCTGTCTCTCTCTCTCTCTCTGTCTCTCTCTCTCTCTCTCTCTCGCTTTCTCCCTCTCTGTCTCTCTTTCTCTCTCTCTCTCTCTCTCTCTCTCTCTCTCTCTCTCTCTCTCTCTCTCCCTCCCTCCCTCTCTCTCTCTCTCTCTTGTACCTTCTTTGCATGCAGGTTTTTATCAAAGGGATGGGATAAGTTGACCCCTTGCTGTTGTCATATTGATGTGCTCCCATTGACTATATTATTATAATTTCCATTGACTCTCTTTAGTGGGTGGTTGGCGGGTGCTCTGGTGTGGTTTGCTTCTTCTTTCCTATCGAACCTCTATCGTCCTGATCTCTCCTCTTCCTTTTTTATGTTTGTTACTCTCTTGTAACACGTCTAATCTTCGGCACTTATATGACCCTATTGTGTTGCAAGTGCCGTAAAACTCTTACTAAAACTAAACCGACTCTCTTTATCTACTCCCAGTGGAGAGTGTGACCACCCCCTATGACAGTTACGACCTCTTCAAGCGCTCTATGAAGGTCGTCAAGGTTGGCGTGTTTGGACAAGGAGCAGAGAGAAAAGCTATGTCCATGTCAGTTGCACCAACTTCACAGACAGAATCAACAATCAGAAGGTGCTGTATTTTTGTAATGAACTTGCAAATCGTAGGCCTGATGTTAAAATGTTCTTTGCCAAGAATTTTAAAAAAAAATTTTTATTGCAGTTCCTTAGTCTGATATGGGTTGCATTTGCTCAGAAAAAATTTGTTGCATTTTAAAATTCTGAATGTTGCAAAAAGCAAGAAAAAATGCATTATGTGAGGCAGCGTGATGTATTCAGGCACTTGTCCAAAAAAAGTGAAATGAAAGTAAAAGTTTAACAGCACTTTGCAACACAATTAGGTCATAAGTGCTGCCACTCTGCATAGATATAGCGTATGTTGTTTATGTTGATTTCATGCAGCTGAAGAAGCTAGTGTAGTCAGTGTCGTAGTCTAACCACACAGGTACTGCCAGATAAATTTGACTGGAGAAACAAAACAAAAACGGGCATACTCTATTCTGTGCTCTTCTTATGGTGTCATTTTTGTGCCACTAGGAAATCAACATTTGCAAAACAAGTACTTAATCTATGTTATGTTTTGTTGTTTTTTAAATTTAAAGTAGCTGTATATACATTTTAAAGATTGCAAACTGTTAAAACTTTTTTTGGTAGTGAAAATGGTTTGTCTTGTTAAAAAGTTTTTCATATTTCTTTGTAAATGTTTCTATGTTGTCAGTGTTTGTTTCCCTATTGTGTGGGTGGTTGGCGGGTGCTCTGATGTGGTTTGCTTCTTCTTTCCTATCAAACATCTATCGTCCGTATTTCCCCTTCTTCTTTTTTATGTTTGTTACTCTCTTGTAACACTTCTAATCTTCGGCACTTATATGACCTTATTGTGTTGCAAGTGCAGTAAAACTTTTACTAAAACTAAAGTTTCCCTATTGTGTCCTCTTTTTTTTTGGGGGGGGGGGGGGGGGGGGGTTGTTGTTTGTTAAGAAAAATTTGATGGTTTTGACTTGTACTGGACAGAACTGTTCCCTGATTTATTCTCTGGTTGTCTAATCTCCAGGTCACCTCAAGCTCGCCCAGCACTGACCACTGTCAGTCAAAATGTCGGAGTGCCTGAGAACAGCAGAGACATGTGGACACTGGTTCCTACGGAAGTGCAGCTTTCTGGTCTGTGATTTTTTTTCCCTCGTTTTGTCACTTTGTTTAAAGTTTCAGTGCAGTTTTTTATTCTTTTAAATTGTCGTATACTGTATAGTTTCGTATTGGTTGGTTTTTATTACTTTGAAACAGTGTGACTCGCAATGACAACTTGAAGTGGAGCATATCAAAATGACTGTCCCTTTAAAATAGACTCCAGTGGTAGAGCTTTTGTTCTGTTCTGAGGTCCATTTTTTGAGAGCTGAGTGCCTGATTTCCTCACCTTTTCCATTGCCCATATTTGAGGCAGCTTGGTGACCTCAGGCGCTCGTCAAAATTACGAAATGGGAGAAACAGGCATTTTCTGTTAGTTTGGAAATTTTTATCTAATTTTTATTTTTTGTCTTATCCTCTTTTACGTCCATATAAAAACACATTTCCATGTGAATTTTACTGAAAAACATTGGTTAAGGGCACAACCTATGTCATTTTTTTCGTTTTCAAAGACTCTTTAGCTATTGCAGTTATCTAACTTTGGCAGCCATTTTCTCGTTAATTTCTCCACTGAAACCAGGCGACCGCACTTTCTTCAATCGCAAATATCTTGAGTTCTATTCGTGACAAATGGATGTTTATTTCATTGGAAGCAAGGCAAATAAATCAGCTTTCAGATGATACTAATAACTCCACATGCCTGAAAACTGCCGAGCGCCTGATTCCACCGTGTTGTGACACATCTACCTGTGCCTGATGTAGAGTTGGTTTGGCCCGCAAAGAAGGATGGTGTTGGTGACGGGAAGCAAGAACTGGTCTGTTTTATTTTTCCCCCACAATGTTGATTAGGTGGGTGGGGGAAGGGGGGGGGGGGGGGCAGTCAACTAGCCCCTCTTGTTTTGTGTTCTTTCTGATGGTTATTCTTTGGATTGCTTTTTTTTTCTGCCTAAATTCCCGCTTGCTGAACAGTTCTTTTCTTTCATCAGTTGGCAGCAATGGATCTGTGAAAGAACATGCTCAGATCATCAACTTTTCCTCTGAAAACTTGAGGTAGTTAATGTGTCTCTTTGTGTGTGTGTTTGTGAGGGAGCTTTGTATTGTATGTCATGTTATTGATTTTGGTAAGAAAACCTGACATGGGCCAAATTATGAATGATTCAGTATTGTCTTGAGCTTTGTTTAAATTTTTTTTAAATTTTAAAGAATGATGTTGGTCTTATCAATGTAAAGAAAGTTGGAAATTTTACTTGTTTAATATCAGGAGCCTGTTCATTTATAAAGTTTGTTCCTTTAAGTATCTGTTTCAATTGATAATGTTTTTAGAATTTTTGCTGTTGTTTCTATTGAAAGCAATTGAAAAACAACAAAGTGAGATGCGGATGAATACTGTGCCAGGTGACTTATGACACCCAAACCTGTCATAATTTTTGTGTGTGTAAAATTGTGACTAGATTTCTTTTCTGGCTATCATGTCATAACGTATAAGCTTGGTGTTTTCTTCCCCTCAGCTTCTCCGTGGACTACGACACAGGGATCCTGGTGTCACCTGAAAAAGGCTCTGTCTCTTCTAAGTAAGTTAATGATTCGTCCTAGAATTTCTCCTACAAAATCTCTGCTATCATTTTTTAAAAAGAAGACTGGATTGAAATCTATAACACCATTGATGGGCGTGTGTAAGTACACCTCGTACATTCCCAGCAGACAGGCGTTGTGGGTGGTTGGAGGGTGCTCTGGTGTGATTTGCTTCTTCTTTCCTATCAAACATCTATCGTCTATATCTCCCCTCCTTTTTTTGTGTGTGTTTGTTACTCTCTTGTAACACCTCTAATCTTCGGCACTTATATGACCTTATTGTGTTGTAAGTGCCGTAAAACTCTTACTAATCCCCCCGGGGCAGTGCCACTGACTGTAGTGTCTTTAGGCCATTCCCAAAGGGGGAACATATCTCGTTCAAGCATAGTAGAATTGTAAATGGGCTGGTTCATGTCACGCTCATAACAACAGGGAACTGCTGCTTTTTCTCTCCTAATCCTTACTATTGCCATTTTCCTCTACTTCTTTTGTATGTTTGTCACTCTCTTGTGACCTGCTATTTCCGGGGTTCCTTGATACTTGAAGCAGACCTTGTGCTGTTTAAGCTAGAGAGGTGAGCAGAGTAAGTCTGATTCCCTGTAAAGACTTCTCTGTTGACACCCATCCCTTGGCGCTCATATGACGTTATGCAATTGCGAGCACCGTAAAACCCTCTACTAAAAAAAAATATTTTTAAAAAAACTTACTAAAACTAAAGATAGGCGTTACTTCAGCGCCTCACAGTGTGTGCTGTCTGTACTGATATAGTGATGACCTTAGATGGGAGTGCCGTAAAAGTGCTGGTTTATTCACACCATCGTCATCATTGTAAACAGCAAGGAATTAAAAAGGGTTGAGACTTGTAGAATTTCCCCAAAATTTTTATAAAAGTTCAACGTTTCGCCCGATCAAGTGCTTAATCAGGAACATACAGAAAAATAATGTTAGATCTAATGACTACGCTCGCTATAGTAACCAAAATGCTCATGTGGGTGGTTGGCGGGTGCTCTGGTGTGGTTTGCTCCTTCTTTCCTATCAAACATCTATCGTCTTTATATCCCCTTCTTTTTTGTGTTTGTTACTCTCCTGTAACACCTCTAATCTTCGGCTGTTATATGACCTTATTGTGTTTCAAGTGCCGTAAAACTCTTACTAAAACTAAACTATGTTCTTAAGGAAAATGCTTTTACTGCTTCTCAGAGCAGGGTGCTGCCTTGGAATCAGGCTCTCGTCAATTTTTGGGCATGTAGAGTTATTGGTATCATCTTAAAGCTTGATCACTTGTCTTTATTTGGATGGAAAAAATATCCATTTATCTTGAATACAAATCGAGATGTTTGCGAATGAAGGAGGTGGGGTTACCTGTTTTCAGGGGCAAAATTAGTGAGAAAATGACCGCCAAAGATTAGTTATTTCCTTAGCTTAAGAGTCGGTGGTAACAGAAAATTTACATTTTTTGTGCTTTTAATCAACATTTTTCAGAAAAATCCACACTGAAATTAGTTCTTTAATGGGCATGAAAGGTGTTGAGTCAAAAAACAAAATTTGATAAAAATCCACAAACCTGTGGAAAAATGCATGTTTTTTCACTTTGATAATTTTGACGAGAGCCTGATTCCACCACGCTGCCTCACATTTTCTTGTTTCAGAAATACGGAGCTGCTGGAGTTGAAATTGAATCCTGCTTTCTTCGCCAACCGAGAGAAAGTTCAGTGGGGAGGGCTCATTAAAGTGCGGTGTTCTCACACCATCAAGGTAGGTACACATTCTCATGGTCTGTTCCTTCTCCTTTTAAGGGGAGGGGCAGCTTTTCAGACACATCTCAGTGTCTATAAACTCTCAGGTAAAGTTTTTTTTTTACTAAAAAGTAAAATGGAACACTTTTGAAAGGTAACATTACTTTTTTTTTTCAATCCAGTGTTATCATGGTAAAGGAAGCCATGTATTGAAAATAATCCGCTTTCATAAAATTGAAAAAGACGTATATTTTCCAACCGAATTTATTCAGATTTGATTTATTGATGGAGAAATTATTAACAAAATTATGTACCGCTGGACTCAAGAATATTTTGAAACCAAAAATAGTTAAAGGCAGATAAACTTACCTACTCCCTTTACACCTCTAAATACATAATTATAAATGCGTGCATACATAAATATGTGACATACATAAATCATCATCATCGTCAATACCTTTCACCCCTGGCAGGGTATAGGCCACATACAAGCTCCTTCCATTTATCTCTGTCCTGGACCATCCTTCCAAGCTCGTTTCAAGGGAGCTTCATCTCTTCTCTCATGTCCCTTTCCACGCATCTCCTCCATGTTTCCTATGGCCTACCCCTGCTTCGTGCTCCCTGTGGGTTCCACTGCAGTGACTGTCTTGTGATGTTTCCGTTGGGCTTTCTTAAGGTGTGTCCCATCCATCGCCACTTTCTTAATCCTATTTCTACTTCTATATCCCTTTGTCCTGTCCTTTCCCACAGCTCTTCATTTCTTATTCACATACATAAATACATGAATGCAAATTGTATTTCAGTATATAAAGGTGTACGTCGTCTTTGAGCCTGCCTACGACCCACTAACTGCAGTACAGCCGAAGCTTTCCCACAATTCGCCACCTACGGTCACTCCCGTGTCCCGCTCGCCGGGGACTTCTTATCACCCGGCTGGCTCGGTCAAGGCTAGGGTCCCCTCTGTGACCGTTGCGGACCGTGTGACTTCGTCTTTGCCGGTGTCCTCCACTACTACAGCGGGACGGCCTCTGCTTGCCCACTCGGGAGAGCGGCCGGACGACCTGAGAGGAGCCAGAGTACAGGGCTCTGACATGGCCATGTTCCCTAACACAGAGCTGGGAGTCGTCAGTTGTGAGTTTCTGTTGGGCATGGTGCTCTGATCTGTAATTTTTTGTGTGTAAAATTGTGCCCAGATTTAAATTACTGGCTGTCATGTCACAGACCTGCCAACTGCTCCGATATTTTTTGTACCATTGTGAAATTTTGGTAGGCAAGGGTTCTCAACCATTAAGAAAGAAAATAAACGAATGCCTACCTTCTTGACCAGCCACATGGTTAAAGCCTGGGCTGGATTTTTGGTTTCGAAAAGTTGGCAGCATTGCTTATTTTTAGTGCTTTTACCTTTCTATGAAGAGTTATACGATACACTCATAAAAAAATCTGCTGAAGCAGCTTGACCAACTTATTTCCATCATGGTTTTAAAAGAAAACATGTAAGGCTCAGTTATAGTTCTTTTAGATTGTAATTCTTTTTATTTAAGTTAAGAAAGTGTTTTATTTCTTTCTCTCTGTCTCATCATGGTCATCATCCCCTCTCACTTGGTCTTTTTTCGAATGCACACAGATGGACACCCGCTGACACACGCACATTCCTGAATGACACTCATTTTATTTGTCACTTTTTTTGTCTAGACTGTTACCCCATATGACCTTATGCAGTTGCGAGTGCCGTAAAACCTTTACTAAAACTAAACTAACGACTGTTTCAAGTGGGTCCTGTGCCGTTAAACCTTTACTAAAACTAAACTAACGACTGTTTCAAGTGGGTCCTTGGCGGGTGCTCTGGTGTGGTTTGCTTCTTCTTTCCTATCAAACATCTATCGTCTTTACCTCGCCTCCTTCTTTTTTTGTGTTTGTTACTCTCTTGTAACACCTCTAATCTTCCGCACTTATATGACCTTATTGTGTTGCTAGTGCTATAAAACACTTACAAAAAAAAAAAAAGATTGTTTCCAGAGTTTGTTCTTGACCTGTCTCCTCAGACCTGCAGTATATCTTCATGAACAAGAGCTCAGAACCACTGCACTGGTTCGTCTCTCCTTTTGCCCCGCCTTATGTCAAGGTAAGAATGCTCTTTGAGAATGTCAGTCATGCTCATCATAGTCTTAATGGAATTGTCTAAATATTTTTTTTAAGATTTCTAGATAAGGGGTGTGGCAAAAAGGCTGTTTCTTGTTTCAAACTTCTGTGTAGCAGCTGTCTGTTTTGTGTATTTTTTGTGCTTTGAAAATTCAATCATTGAGACATGTTTACTTCTGTCCTAGTGTTACAACTAAGAACGCCCTATTTTTAAAAATCTTTTTCTCAAAACAAACCCAAAAATGCTTGTCAAGTGTTCTGTCTTTACCTCCTGTTGGTAGTTGCTGGGTGCTTGTGCAGGATCCTGGACTCAATCTCTTAGAATTTTTGCACAGTTTTTTTGTTTTCAGGAAATTTTCATTTCTCTTTACCCAATCAGTACGCCCTGGGGTCATTTTGTACCCCCGGGGTTGTATTCTTCACATTTTAGAATACTTCTAGTACGAAGATCTCTTTGAAACTTTCAGTGTTTCTCAAAAAATCATTTTGACAGACTGCTATGTAAAGCGTACGGATCTGATTAACGAGTAAATTTCCTGGACTCAATATCTCTTAGAATTTTTACACAGTATTTTTGTTTTCAGGAAATTTTCATTTCTTTTAAGCGTGTGAGATGGTTGAAAACACAATTTCGGTTTCTTACATGAATGGGCAACGTGAACCCTACTGGAGCCACTGGGCAGTTAGGTCTTTCCAGTCTCATGAAAACCCCTTGTACCCTCCTGTCCTCAACATGAACGGCCTCTTCTCAGGGTGGGCAGGCAGTCCACAGACACCCCAGTCCACAATGCCATGACACAAAGTTTCTTAGATGACAAAAGTGTTTTCAGAAGTGATGGTGAAATAAAAGAACTTCTGGAAGTGTGTTCACTTTGAGAGTTTTATATCTCCTGTGTGTGTAGGTACGAGTGAATGATAGGAGGAGGACACAAAGTTTTTCTTCTTTTCTTTCCCTCTTTTGTTTCTGTCTGTCTATCTTGCTGTATGAACATTACTGTGTCAATGTGCTCCTCTCAACTCAAACTATCATCTGGCGGTGCTCTGGTGTGGTTTGCTCTTTCTTTCTTATCAAACAACTGCCGTTTCCATCTCCCCTCCTTTTTTTATGTTTGTCACTCTCTTATAACACCTAATCTTCCTAACCCCGCGGGGCGGTGCTACTGACTAAAAAGTGTCTTTAGGGCATTCCCAAAGGGGGGGACATTAACATCTCGAGTTCTTATGCACAGCAGAATTGTAATTGTAAATAGGCTAATTCATCAATGTCATGCTCATAACTGCCTGAACTGCAACAGGGAACTGCTACTTTTTCTTTCGTAATCCTTACTATCGTCATTTTTCCTCTACTTCTTTTGCATGTTTGTCACACTCTTGTGACTTGCTATTTCCGGGGTGCCTTGATAGTCGAAGCAGACTTTGTGCTGTTCAAGCTAGAGAGGTGAGCAGAGTAAGCCTGATTCCCTGTAAGGACTTCTCTGTTGACATCCACTCCTTGACGCTCATATGACCTTATGCAGTTGCGAGCGCCTTAAAACCTCTACGAAAACAAGTGGGTGGTTGCCGGGTGCTCTGGTGCGGTTTGCTTCTTCTTTCCTATCAAACATGTATCGACCTTTTCTCCCCTTCTTCTTTTTTATGTTTGTTACTCTCTTGTAACACCTTTAATCTTCTGGCGCTCATATGACCTTATGCAGTTGCAAGCGCCGTAAAACCTCTACTAGAACTTAACTACGAAAACAAACACTTTCGAAAACAAAAACAGTCTGTATGTGTGGACAAGCAAACATCTGTACGTGTGTATATGTTCTCCCCAGCACGTTGACGACACGCAGCACGTGTACCGTGTCATGTACCCCGTGTTCAAGTTGTCTCCGACTTCAGGCACCCTGATGCCAGACGACAGTGCTAAGGTAGGAGAAAAGAGATGAGATGGTTACTTCTTTGTGGGAATTACTTACTACCCGTCATGCCATGGGTCTCCAGCTCTGTCTGTGTCTCGGCAAAGAGTCTACATAACAAGAGGGGCCACTTCTCTCTTTGAGCCAATTAAAAAAGTGTCCTCAAAATTCGGTGGCGCCCTCTTCACAAAAGCGCACCCTTTGCGAACAGAGTTGCCCTACTTGAGTAAAATTCAAAGTGAAACTAGCAAGTTTTTTAAATAAATTTCGGAAGAACGCTTTTTTTAAATGGTTACGCTGACAAAAAACCTCTTCCGGAGGAAAGGGTGATTGTTTTCTTAGCTTAATTTGACTTTAGAAAGAAAGGCGAGAGGTCATTAAAATTTTAAAAACCTAAAACTCCACACTGAATGAACCCGAACTGCTGATGAACAGCAGTCGATCTGCGCACGCAAGGAGGTGCTATTCCTATTCTTCTTCTGGAAACACGAAAGAGAGCTTCAAAACAGACTGCAGCGCCATCTGAAGCAAAGAGCGAACTTTGCGCGGACACTTTTTTGGCTGAGTGGCCCATCTTGTTATGTACTATCTTTGGTCTTGGTCAACGTCCCTCACGAATGGTTCCAGGGTTTCATTTCAGACTCTACTGTGCGTCTCCGGGTCACAATAGAATCTGGTTCTGTTGTGTGAATTAACTTGTGTGTATTTGTTCTATGTGTTAATGTCTATTTACTTGTATGTGTTTGTGTGTGTTAACTTGATTATATGTTTTTGTATTTTTGGCACCATTTGTGTCATGTTTTTGGGTACATTTTCTTGTATTTATTTGTGTGTGTAACTTGTATGTGTTTGTGTAATCATGTGTGTTTTTTGTATGCCTGTGTGTATTCACTTGCATGTGTTTACTTTTATGTGTGTTTGTTGTGTGCTTGTGTTAAATTTCATTTTCTCTTTTCAGCTTATACACTTACAGGACCAGCTCATAACGTTAACTTTTGTGACTCTCTTGTAACACCTCTAATCTTCTGGTGCTCATTTGACCTTATGCAGTTGCAAGCGCCGTAAAACCTCTACTAAAACAAATAACGTTAATTGTTAATATATTTCCTGTCTCTGTTGGCAGGCCTATGCTGCTCCTCGTTTGAATTATATTAAGTATTATATTTTGCTCTTCATTAAAGTACTTTGTATGTTAGTCACATCAAAAGAGGTGCTCTTAGTGGGTGGTTGGCGGGTGCTCTGGTCTGATTTGCTCCTTCTTTCCTATCAAACATCTATCGTCCTTTTCTCCCCTCCTTCTTTTTTGTGTTTGCTACTCTCTTGTAACACCTTTAATCTTCGGCACTTATATGACCTTATTGTGTTTCAAGTGCCATAAAACTCTTTCTAAAACTAAAAGGTTGTCCCTGTTTGTGTCTGAGTTCCCCTCGGGCAGTGCCACTGACTGAAGTGTCTTTAGGCCATTCCCAAAGGGGGGACATTTCTCGTTCAAGCATAGTAGAATTGTAAATGGGCTGACTCATGTCACGCTCATAACTGTGCCTGATCTACAACAGGGAACTGCTGCTTTTTCTTTCCTGATCCTTACTATTGTCATTTCCTCTATTTCTTTTTTATGTTTGTCACTCTCTTGTGACCTGCTATTTTGGGGTGCCTTGATAGTCAAAGCAGATCTTGTGCTGTTGAAGCTAGAGAGGTGAGCAGTCCAAGTCTGATTCCCTGTAAAAACTTCTCTGTTGATTCCCACCCCTTGGCGCTCATATGACCTTATGCAGTTGCGAGCGCCGTAAAACCCTGTACTACATATATATATATATATATATATATATATATATATATATGTGTGTGTCTCTGAGTGGTGAAGCCAGTGGTACAGTAGCGTGGAAACTGGTCTCATATTAATCGTTTTCAGCAGTATTAGTAAGTCCAAGCAGCGTCTTCCTTCAGAGTTTTGTATCGATTTTTTTAAAGCCCTACATAGCAAATAGACGTGTTTTTGTTTAAAGTATAGAAATATATATTGGCATGAAACCTTCTCTATCTGTCATTTGTGAGGCAGCATGGTGAAAGCAGGCGCTCGTCAAAATAACGAAATCTGAGTAACGGGCATTTTTCCGCCAGTTTGAAATTTTTATCGAATTTTTTTTTTTTGTCTTAAGCTCTATTAGGTCCATATAAAAACACACATCCATTTTAATTTTAGTGAAAAACATTGATAAAAGGCACAACATATTACATTTTTCAGTTTTCAAAGACTCTCTCGCTATTGCAGTTACCAAACTTTGGCGTCCATTTTCTTGCTAATTTCACCACTGAAATCAGGCGACCTCACTTTCTTCAATCACGAATATCTTGAATTCTATCTAAGATAATAAATGGATATTTATTTCATGGGAAGAAAGGCAAATAATTAAGCTTTAAGATGATACCAATAACTTCACATGCCCAAAAATTGACGAGAGCCTGATTCCACTGCATCGTGACACATCTGTCGTCCTTTTCTCCCCTCCTATTTTGTGTTTGTTACTCTCTTGTAACACCTGTAATCTTCGGCACTTATATGACCTTATTGTTTTGCAAGTGCCGTAAAACTCTTACTAAAACAAAGATATTATTTCTCCCGTGCCAGGTGTCCATTGAGTTCTGCCCTCAATCGAAGGGGTCTTTCAACCAGAGCTGGACGTTGAGGGACAAGAACAATCCCGGGGACAGCCTACATCGTCTCACCATCTACGCCAAGGTATGTGGAAAGTTCTTTTTTAGAAGTTGCTGCAATCCACTTTTTTATCTTCATGTCACTTTTTGCATCTGATATAATTGTGCAGCCAAGGTATTTAAAACTGAGGCAGTATAATCATCATTAAAGTATTAAAGCTGTAAGAGACCCAATAATTTGAGAAAGTCACAAGCAAGGTTGTAGAAAAGCCACAACACAAGATGTTTACTTTCGAGACTTTGAGCCAAGACTGTTTTTAAAACAAACATGGTGAGTGGTTGGCGGGTGCTGTGGTGCGGTTTGCTTCTTCTTTCCTTTCAAACATCTATCGTCTTTATCTCCCCTCCTTCTTTTTTTGTGTTTGTTGCTCTCTTGTAACACCTCTAATCTTCGGCACTTATATGATCTTATTGTGTTGCAAGTGCCGTAAAACACTTACTAAGTGGGTGGTTGGCGGGTGCTCTGGTGTGGTTTGCTCCTTCTTTCCTATCAAACATCTATCGTCCTTATCTCCCCTTCTTCTTTTTTATGTTTGTTACTCTCTTGTAACACCTCTAATCTTCTGGCGCTCATATGACCTTATGCAGTTGCGAGCGCCGTAAAACCTCTACTAAAACAAACTAAACCATTATATATTTTGAACTCTCTGTTTTCCCCTCTGCAGGCGTCTCCTCAACAAAGTCACGACAAGTTCAAAGACAGCACTTCAGCTGCTGGTACATCCCCCGCCACCACAAGCGACATGACCTCCAAGCTTGTCCCGGTGTCCCCGAGGGCCACAAAGCTCGGCTCGGCCGGCTTCTCCAGCTCAGCCACGAGCCCCAGAGCAAGGTCAAGTAGCGGTTCGACCAGTGCAGGACGTCGTTCAACGAGTGAGAGCCGCCAGAAGGCCCAGGGGGCTGTCTTGGCTCCTGGTGTGTGGAAGTCTGCAGGGCCAGACACTGGTCACTCTGAGAGCACCACCAGAGACGGCCGGAGTGGTCACAGAAAGTCGGAGACTGTTGGTGGTGTTGCTTCGGACAGACTGAATGACAATTTCAGGTATGGATGATTGGATTTGAAACGGTTTTGGTTTTTCGTAGTAATTTGCTTGATGGAAAAGTCTACCTTTTTTTTAAAAATGAATTCCCTGATATTGTGCTCCTTGTTTTGGCCAATATCTTCTGGGCCATGCTTGTGGATTGGGGGGTTCTGTTTTTGTTTTTTAATGAAGTAGCAGGTTCAACTAGTTTCTTAGCTTCTCAGGATAATAGGACTATATTAAGATAAGATAAGATAGTACTTTAGTATCCCAGAGGGAAATTTTCCTTGACTGTACAGGACAGTAAAAACACATGCAGGTATTCATAAAAAATTTAAATTATATATTACTCTCATTAAAATTCAAATGAAAAGAGAAGTGAAGCTGACAAAATGTACATTCACATCAAATGCTTCATTCAACCACATGCAGGAATTTAAATACAAGACCTTTGGAGTTATATAGATAGATACATACTGTAAGAGAAACACACATCTATGCTCATTCTGACAAAAGCCTTATGCTAGATGGTAAAAGGCTTCTTGTATATCTTTATTTCTTTGTTTTTGGAGGTACATATCTGCCACTGTGTGATCTTGCAATTTGTGCGGAAAAGGGGTGTGATGGGTCGTTTATAATGCTTTTTTTCTTTTTTATATGTGTGGTGTTATACATTTCATCTATTCTATTAAAATGATATCCAGAGATCTTGCTGGCTTTCTTTATGGTTCTGTCAAATTTTTCTTAATCTTTCTCCTTACAATTCCCACCCCAGCAGCAAATACAAAATAATAGCACACTACCAATCATAGAATGGTAAAAAAGAGACATAATCTTATTGTCAACACGGAAACTTCTTAATTTCTTTAAAAGAAACATTTCTTGGATTTACTTTTTTAAGCACAAGAGCAGCGTGGGGATGCCAGTCAAGTTTGTTGTCGATTGTTACCCCAAGATACTTGTAAGAGTTACCACCTCCACCTCTTCATTTTTAATAAATAGTGGTTGCCATTGGTCTTTTTTGACTCTAAAGTCTATTATTAATTCCTTTGTCTTTTTTACATTTAGTAAAAGGAAGTGGTTATCACACCAATTTGTAAATAGATTTACAGCGTCCCTGTATTCATTCTCATTTGTTGTTATAAGGCCTTGTAGAGTGGAATCATCCGCAACTTTTATTAGTTTGATGTTTTTGTTATCAAAAGTACAGTCGTTGGTGTAGAGCGTAAACAAGACAAGGAAGATTACACAGCCTTGGGGCGTACCGGTGTTCGTGAATATAAGGTCGGATTTTACACCATTTAATTTTACATATTGAGGTCGGTTGGTTAAGAACTCAAGAATCCAAGCTATAATGTTCTTGTTTATGTTCATATAATTAATTTTGAAACCTTTATGTGCGGTTGGATTGTGTTGAATGCGGATGAAAAATCAGCAAAAAGTATCCTGCCATAATTTCACGGTGTGTCTATGTGTTTGTAGATGTTATCTAAGAACATGAGAATGGCATCCCCCACGCCCCTCTTGGCACGATAGGCAAATTGCATGTTATCCTGTATGTCTTCTGTTGATTTCCTCACTTCTTTCAGAACCAGTTTTTCTAAGGTTTTCATAACGACTGATGTTAAAGCCACAGGTCTTAAGTCATTCAAATTTTGTATTGATTGTTTCTTTGGGACGCGAATTATTTCAGAGAATTTCCTTGAGAGTGGTGTTATTCGTTCTTTCAAAGACATATTGAAAATATCAGTTCTCGAAAAGTTCTGTTGATTCTTCTGCTGTTTTTGCTCGGTTGTTTTAGTTTTGTTTTTCCCCCTGTTTTTTCCCCGGTCTGCATTTGCCAGTGGATTGGTGTATTAGCTCTAGGTTTCTAATGATATCATGCTTTCAGACTGCATCATTTTTTTCATAACAGCTCCTGCTCCTCTATCAGGTTGTTTTTAGTTTTGAGATTGATGTAGTTTTGATTCAGTCTCGTTCTACTTTTTCATGTATCTTTTTCATAGCAAAAAGAAAACCCAGTCTGCATCAGATATGGGTGTCCCTCCATTGGCTGACTTTTCTCCAACATCGTCAAGATCATCAGGGTCATTGAGGTCAGCGAGACAGCCAGATGCCTCTGGGGACAACAATTCTGCAAGGTATAAAGTGTACAGAAATAACACTGACCTTTTAATCCGTTAGTGTTCAGGCAAAGATGTCTTTCAATCGTCATGCTCTTCAGTTCTAGACTAAAACACGATGTTTCATGTCTAACAGAGGCATTTTTTTCATTCATTTTTTTTTTCTTTTCAACCTTTTTTTAAAATGAGTGCCAGAGGCTCTCTGAAAATGTATAGGCCAGGAAGTGTTAAGAACATTTCTGATTTTATGTGAAAGTCCCAACAACACCCACTGGTTGCACAGTGATGATGATGGGGGTGGTTGTAGGGCACTGCAAGTAGGGTCTGCTTCTCTTATTTCCTTCTTTTGTTTCTGTCTGACTGTCTTGTCCATTCCCTGCACTAAATGATTGTGGGTGGTTGGCAGGTGCTCTGGTGTCGTTTGCTTCTTCTTTCGTCTTTATCTCCCCTCCTTCTTTTTTTGTGTTTGTTGCTGTCTTGTAACACCTCTAATCTTCGGCACTTACATGACCTTATTGTGTTGCAAGTGCTGTAAAACCCTTACTAAAACTAAAACTACAAGAAGTTATTGGAATTACCAAATAAAGTTTCAGCCTGCTATGTCGTTATTTTCTGATGTACCCTGATTGCTCATTGCTCTTGAATTTTTATGTGCTTTGTCTTTTCATATTTTCAGATCTGATTCCAGCCGTGCGGCGAGGCCTAAAGGCCTGCATCTTGTGTCTTCCGAAATCCTGTTCCCCACTTTGTGCAAGGGAGAAAGCGCTGTACTGAAAATTTTACTGAAAAACCCTACCAGTACAGTGAAACAGGTTAGTAGTACTGTATTTGCTTTTTGCTTGTGTGTTATGGGACCGTTAACCCTATCCGTACGTCCTGGGGTCATATTTATACCCCCGGAGTTATATTCTTCACATTTTAGAGTACTTCCAGTGCGAAGTTCTCTTTGAAACTTTCAGTATTTCTCAAAAAATCATTTTGACAGACTGCCATGCAAAGTGTATGGATCGGATTAACAAGTAAATTTTCCTCTTTGGAAAGTGGTGGCACAGAGTTCCCCACATCGTATGGACACGATAATAAAACATGACGTACGGACAGGGTTTCTCTTTTCCTGTAGTTTTGGTTCAGTTGCTGTGGGATCTTGTACTGTGTCAAAACTGGGATAAGATCTAAGCTGTCTTTCCATCTGTACAGTTATATTATGTCTTTTCTTATCTCCGAATTTGAAGATCAAGTACCCATTTCCTCAACAAAATAAAATTACGTAACAGTCTTTGTCTTTTTGAAAAGGTTTTACGTGAAGTCATTCCTAAGAAGTCTAAGAAGAAAACTTTATTAAAAATATATATGACTTGAGTAAATGGCTAAAAAATTGCTTAAATGGATGATTTTCCCCAACTTTTGTTGATGAACAAATTGATAATTTGACCCAAAATGGCTATTTTCACATATATTGCTGAGTAAAAACTCTCTGTACTTTGATTTTTTTCTTTATTGTACTCTTGTGTTTCAAAAATCTCATACTCAGATACTCAGGACCAATCCTGCTCTATTTGACAGTTTTTTAGAGTAGAGGTAACTGGAAATGCCAATGTGAATAGCAATAGTTACAAAATTTCAATTTTATAACCTTTATCGCTTTTCCGCTGTGGCTTTCATATTATTTGTATAGTCTTCTTTTCTTCTGCGGCTGAAGAACTGCCAAGTTGCGAGTAAGATTAGAAAAGCTTAACAGCAATGTGCTTAAGTGACTAAGTGACTGGGGTCATATTTAGTCTTTATACGTAAGACAAAAGTTTCCTTGCTGGAAGTTAAAATTTTTTTGTTTTTTTTATTAAAGTGAAGCGAAGTTGGTTTGTTTCGTTTTTTGCTGATTCTCTCCCCCCCCCCTCCCCAACTCCCTTGTTTTTGTGTGTATGTGTGTGAAGGGAGGGGGGGGGGGTTGTTTCTTTTGTTTCAAAGAAAAATAAAACAGTAATTTTTGCTGTGCCAGAGTGCCACACAGACATGTCCTAAAAGCTTTGATTTTCATCCCATGTCTTATCAGATAACAGTAGAACAAGAACCACAGCCACCTTTCTTAATCAAGCATCACAGCTTCACGGTCAGGTGAGTGTCTCTTTGCTTTTTTTTGTTGCTTTTTTAAAAAAAATTAAACCTCCTTCTTTCCTATAAAAAAAATCTATCGTCTCTATCTCCCCTCTTTCTTTTTTGTGTTTGTTACTCCCTTGTAACTCGACCTCTAATCTTCAGCATTTATATTACCTGATTGTGTTGCAAGTGCCGTAAAACTCTTACTAAAACTAAAACTTTGCTAAAGGGCAGGGGGTTTTTTTCCTTCTTTGTATATGAATGTATTTCTTTATTCACTCCCATGTATTTTATTTTCCACTGTAGGTGATTGGCGGATGCTCTTGTGTGGTTTGCTCCTTCTTTCCTATCAAACATTTATCGTCTTTATCTCTCCTCCTTCTTTTTTATGTTTGTTACTCTCTTGTAACACCTCTTGTCTTATGGCGCTCATATGACATTATGCAGTTGTGAGCGCCGTAAAACCTCTACTAAAACAAACAATATCTCTCGTCCTTCTGTATTGTGTTTGTTACTCCCTTGTAACACGACCTCTAATCTTCGGCATTTATATGACCTAATTGCGTTGCAAGTGTGGCAAAACTCTTACTAAAACTAACTAAACTTTTTTCCCCCACTCTGTATTTGTGCCTCAGAGAGGATAAGATGATGATGTTCCCCGTGACCTTCAAGCCACTGCACGTCGCAAAGTTCAAGGACAAAATCGTTTTCCGGGAGAATGAGTCTGGCCAGCGTCTGTGTGCCGTGGTGGAGGCACAATGTAGCCAGTGAACCTTTTCTGGACCGCTTGGAGTGACGATGGGCGAGGAACAAAAATAATCAACAATTCCATGAGTTTTTAAACCTGACATTTACAAATATTGCTTTTGAAATACTATGCTTTGTTCTGTAAGGAAGAACAGATTTCTCTCAACTCTTTCTGCGTGAGGATCAATTTCTGTCCTATCAGACATCTATCGTCCTTATCTCTCTCTCCTCCTTTTTTGTGTTTGTTACTCTCTTGTAACACCTCTAATCTTCGGCACTTATATGACCTAATTGTGTTGCAAGTGCCGTAGAACTCTTACTAAAACTAAAACTAATTGTTTGGTTTCTATTTTTTCTGTTGTCATAAAGATACTGTTGTTACAGAGCAAGCATTGAAATCAAACTTACGTTAAGTTTATGAAGTATGTACAGTATTGTGTTGTAAATCAAATTCAGGTGTAATGAATATATATATGCAAAAGTCAAACTATGATCAAATGAACGTCTTGTTTATTCAAATAAGGCTGCGGCTGTTGGGTTTGTGTCCTTTGGTCAGAGAGTGCATTTTTGTGAGTGTTGGCTCTTGTCTGATTGTGGGGTTGGAGGGG